TGTAATGTTTGAGTGTCCTAATATGTAAACGCTTTACGATGAAATGTGACGTTCACAAAATAATCTCATTTTTTATGTCAGAAAATGAAGTGCAACAATTTAACTCTTCAGGTTTTCCTTTAATCTAGGTTTCTATAACGTTATTTGCAAAGAAGTATTAATTGCATTATTAGTTTACAAAGTTCTGACGACGAATAGTTTAAATCAACTGCACGTAAGTAATTTATAAAGCATCTCTTTACTGGCTTCATATCGTGCGACTTACAACTACTCACTACTTTTCAAATAATTGATTCACGTTCTCTGTAAAGTATTACATTTCATTTCGAGTGAGTTGCATTCACATAAAATTTTGAATAAGCTCACCCAAAATATTAATTTTAGCGGATCTACATTCGCTTCACTGTTCTTGAGCAATCTCAGCTTTGTTATTGAATCCGGTTGCATTCAACTGTGTTTGCTGAGACGTGCTATTAGAGAGGAGATCATCTAGTGCCTCGGGGCGAAGTCCGTCGACTGTTCGCAGCTGCGATTTGTTCGGTATCGATAATCTTTAGAAAAGCTCTTTCTAATTAGATCCGCAGTGATCTCGAGACACCTGCCTCTTCTTCTTCTCTTCTCTCGCTCCTGCCGTCGCAGGCTGTTTCTCTTCTTTCTGGAGACAGCGCAGTTGCCCCAATTTGCGTCGCCTCCTTCCCACTTTTCTTCAGTAGCTTTGCCCTTGCCGTTAATTTAAAGCGCCCTACCACGCCCCGCCCTTCACGCTGAATTTGCCTTTGGCGAAGTCGTTTCGGTGTAAAATAAACTGTTGTGCAAATTTCTGTCTAATTAATGTTGTATGGAAGAACTCGATGTTCGTCGCTCCGGGGGAATTACGAACAAACCAAGTGTGAAAAGGGCCGCGATTGCAACTTTCTCCGCAACAGTTTCGAATGAAAGGCCCGAGGTACAATTCTTTTGAAGCTATCGACCAAAAGGTTTCAAACGCGAGCAACTGCATCTCGAACTGCCACATATTTCCGAGGAACTGGTAAACTCCTGGAAATAAGAGCAGAGCACCGTTTCTTTCTGCATTAATGAGCTTGCTTGTCGTGAGGTTTTTCATTTCGCTCCAAAGTGTGTCATTAAGTTAATGTCTGGGCACTGTGCCCTGACCCCACAGCCCGCCGTTCCCCAAGCGCCCATCCCCCTACCCCATCACGCCTAAGCCTCGTTCCGTTTTTTTTCGCACTTCATTTGTTTTATGCGTCTCCGACACGCGCCAACAAAGTAAAGTCTATCAGGGGCGGCAATGGTGATGGGGAGAAATTGAGGACCACTCAGCTGTGGATGGCGAAGACGCCTCTGGTTTCTTCTTGCTGCTCTAATTTACCCATAATACGATCCTGCTGTGAAGACTCTTTTTCGAGCATACGAAAAACATTTTTGCTCAGGAAATTTGTTAAGTGGTGAAAGAGTTGAAATTTTTTTGGGGTAGAATACGGCAGCGGCGGGAGTGACTCAAATGCTTACAAATCACCGCGTAATTTATTATGTTAGAAAACGAGATTGAATGACGTAATTGATGTTTGTCAAATCTGCAAGACTGCCTTACTCATCATATCACCATATGGTGTATCGAATTAAAGAAACAATATTTATATTCTTACTTTAGTCATCTTTGTTCTTCCAAACTTTAGAAAATTATTACCTCGTCTGAACTGACAAAAATAATATTTGAAAATTATATGTTTATATCAATGAATACATATCTCACACAAAATTTCAAATAAAACTTGGCATTGTTTATAAATTAGAATATTTATTTTCATAAGGTAAATATTTCAATACATAAAAGTAAAAATATTTTTACTTAACTTTGGTGTTTGTACAAGGTACGCAGAATTTATTAATTGAATTTTAAAATACACAGACACGATCATTTCTCTCCTCAAACAAATCTCTATGTACTGAAATCAAATATCACGCTAACGTACTCTCTGGCCTCGCAGACTACTTCAAAGTGTGTTTATTTACGTGTTTGCCCCCGAGTCGTCGTTGAAGGTCTGTTGGCAGGCTTGGGCAGTAGCGTGACCGCGGGCGCCTCCGGGAGGTAACTGATTGCTGTGCGGTGGAAGGGACCTCGTCGAAGAGGAGGCGGAGGAGGTGGCGGGGGGAGGGGAGGGGGCGATACGAAGGGAGGGAGGGGTCCCTGGTGGGGCACTTCGAGAAATGAAATCGCCCGCTACGCGAGCGTGTTGTAGGCCCCGCGGTGTTGACACAATATGGTAAAGGAGTTCGTATAAAACACACAGCTCGCTTCCACTGTAATACATACGGCGCCTTATATCCCCCCCCCCCTCACACGCCATTCCGAAGAAAGTTGAGGGTGCAGTTCTGACTACTGCTTTCTCCTTCTTACATCACATATCGAGCTTACTCGCGGCCGTTGTACAGTTTTCCTATATCTTTTACCGGTAATTTTGTTAGTAACCTTACGTCCAACATTCCGAAAACTCCCAAGAGATTGAAGGTGCAACTCTTTATACGAGTTTCTCCTTCTTTTTTTATTCGTTGAGCTTCCTTGAATTTTCTTTTTGGTTTTCTATCCTCTCCGTCCAGCTAGTAATGTATTGGTGATCTTACTTTTTTAAATGTACCTAATTTTTTTGTGTACGCAAAATCACATCTCTTCTTCCTTCGCGTACATTTATAAGGTCAAATCTTAATCTGTGTACAAATAATCAAATATTGGAGTTTATCAATTAACTTGAAATATCCTAATATTTAAGAAAATCCTCAATCGTGCAAACTGTTCCAATACTAAATGCACAAATTTGAACATATCACTTCTTCTCTTTTGCATATCTATTACTGTTCTTCCAAATATTCCACAGAATACACTTTTTAAGCAAGAATTGTTACTTTATCTGTCTTGGATATTAGTATTAACTAAAATGTGTGGCAACTCGCGCGAACTTTTCGGAGATTTCCTTAAAGTTCTACGGCGGTAGGGAATGAAACTTAATTGAATTCTTAAATAAAACTAACCAAAGTAGAAAAGTGAGCTAAACCTAGCATAAATACAGATTTTCTTATCCTCCTCAAAGGATAATAATACGCAAAGGCGCTACTCTTCTAAATAAAACAAACTGAATCGCAATATGATAGACTGTCTTCGCTGCAATTACCATTCTTATGCATTTCACTGTAAAAGGAAACTTGTGTTTGCGCAGCTGTTTCTTTTATAAACAAGGAAGAGAACTTTTCATGAAAAGTAAACAGTTTTGAAATTCTCATTGCCCTTCTACTGTGCCCGGCTGCGATCTCACCATCGCCAGCAACTCCGGGAGGATTTAACACCCGCAGCAAACTGCCTGGGAAACTGTAGTCTTTCGGGCCGATTTCTCCCCCCATCCTCCACCCACCATCCCTCGCACTTCTCCGACTGCTCCGAACCACCTTCACCCCACGGTACAACTTATTCATTACTTTTACATTTACAACCGTGTCGAGTGAACTTTTTGTTCACCGATCAAACTGAACGTCGTTCTTCTCTTTCCATCCCGTTCGGAACCTCTGAAAGTTGAAACGCAACAACGGAAGCAATACTTGGGAGTCGAGTTTCTGAAAGTTTTTTCTCTAAGATTCTGCGCTGGCGAAGGTTCTCTCGAATTTCACCTTTCGCTGGCGTCGCCTCGCAAAATACGTCATTAACATAAAACGATTATCGATCGGTTCTGAAGAGCTGAATCGACGTTCCTCTCTTAAATTAGCCTACGGCCACTTCAATTGCGAATGCTAATGTGTGAATTAGATATACCGCTGCGTTTGCTAAAATTGCGGGCCCATTGAGGTGCGCGTTGACTATTTCGTGTGTGCTTTTATAATTGTCGTCGATTGTGCTACCCGATCTTGTTTTCTTTTTCGTCCCGTTTTGCTCGTTTATTCTGATATCCTGCGATATTTCTCTCTGCTGTCGTACATTCCTCTTCCTGGTTCTGTTCAGAAGTAATACTACTGAACGGATATTTCAACCCATTGAATGTTAGTGTTTAGGCACTCGAAGACACTTCGGAGCATAACGGGTTCTTCGTTAGAAAACTGAAATTTAGAAGATGCATTAAAATTGTTTAGATATTCCTTCGGAACATAGTGCACATTTGAGTAGTTCGGGCTATCTCTTGTTAGATATGAGCCAGTAGAGAACCACTCTTTGTAAAATCGGAAAATATTAAAGGTAATAGCACATTTGAATGTAATTCCTGTTAAATTTCGTTTTAAGCCGAAAACAAAAGGTGCTGTTGTTGTAACATAATGTAATCAATAACTAATAATTTTTCTTTGAAAAGTGCAATTTTTCTTCTTCTTAAGGTTGCTGACACAGATGTAACTTTAATATAATTCCCTCAGAATATGCTATGATTTAACAGATTTGTTGGACGAATCGTACAATAATTACGAGGGATAATAGAATTTATTTTGTTAAAGTTGAGATATTTATTGATTAATATTTTTATAAACGTTTGTGATGTCACAAAACAATATAATTTTGTTTTAACGTCATTGAGGACACACAAAGAGAAGTTTAATACTTGATAATCAAAGGTACTTATGATATCCAATACACAATAAAATTAATGTATTGCAACGTAATCCATATCAGTGGCATGCTTTACTTTGTGTAGCATATAAAATTAACATATCGAAAAGTGAGAAAAATTTGCGTTGAAGGTACAAAAATGAAAACAATTTTCATAATCGCCAATTTAAAATTTCTAAGGCTATCTGAAAAGTAAAAGTTTGCGCCCGGCAATCATACTCAAGAAGTCATATATTGGTCAAGAAAAGAGAACTCATAAAAAATTATTATCAAGAAAACTATGAAACTGCTGGAGTGTTCACGAAAAAGTCACCGTACTTCATTTCCATTTCGACCAGAAAATACAATCCAAGGTGGCGGCAACTAGCTGTGAATATTCCCCGTCTTCCCACAACTTCGCTCCCATCCAGTGAGCATCATGTGTCTCCGGTGGTTCGTGGTGTTGTGGCTGGTGTCGTGCGCGACTCTGGCGTCTCACCAACAGCACCAGCAGCAGCAGGAGCACCAACAGCAACATCATCATCAGCAGCAACAGCAGCAGCAACAGGAGCACCAAGAGCAACATCATCATCAGCCGCAGCAGCTGTCGCCGCGGCGCCGCCACCAGCGTCACGAGCTGGACCGGCCGCACCAGTGGGCGACGCGTCCCTTCCGGTCGCTAGTGGAGGGCGCGGCGGTGGCGGCGGGGGCGGCCGGGGCGCCGCACGCTGGCGACATCCCGTGGCCGGTGAAACGCGAGGCCGTCGTGGAAGGAGACCTCATCCTGGGCGGGCTGATGATGGTGCATGAGCGCGAGGAGTCGGTGACGTGCGGCCCGGTGATGCCGCAGGGCGGCGTGCAGGCGCTCGAGGCCATGCTCTTCACGCTGGACGTCCTCAACGCGGAGCCGGCGCTCATCCCCAACGTGACGCTGGGTGCGCACATCCTCGACGACTGCGACAAGGACACCTACGGGCTGGAGATGGCCGTCGACTTCATCAAAGGTAGGGCTCGCTTACTATGTACGCCAGCTCATACTTTATTCTAATTCCTTACACTGTACTAATGAAGCTAAAACATTATTTAAAATACGTTGTCTGTGAATACACAGAATTCGGCGGAAAAACACCTTGAGACTCCGAGTTTTTAGGTGTTTTTTCTAGCGTTTAGTACTCTAAGCACACATACAATACGAAGGCAAGATGAGCTGAAGTCTGCATCGTACATTCGTTTTTTCACAATTATTGTTGCTATTTTATCGGTGTTATATGTTAAATTGTTTTCTAAACTTAAGTAACAATACTCTAATCCTTGACCTTAACCCTTGAGGAAAACACCTTACAAAATGAAGCAATTTTTAATGCTACTAGTACGCAAGATATCTCCTATGTATACTAGTTCTGTTAACTCTTAGTGTTTTATTTGCTTACAAGATGTTTAAGAGAATATTAACTTCAAATACTTCTTTATTAATATTCCGGGTGTCCCGCTAACTATTGTCCATCACCATAACTCCAAAACGGTTCACAATATCGAAGTACAATTTTGATTTAATAATGAGAAATACTGTAAGTAATAAGATGTAGAAATGTTTGAAATGCATCTAATTTGCGAGAAATATCTTTGTTTTTTAAATAGAACGATATATTTTTCTCGCTAGAAATGGATATATCATGAAAAGAGGAACACAATGGTGTATGTTAGTGTTTTGGTAGCAATTTTACTATAAAATTATACTTCCTGATATGTGATATTAAATTAAACGGACAAAATTTCATGCAGTTGCGATTGCAATTGAAACCTTTTGTGAAGGTGACCTTTGCGGTGACAGCTGCATTGCTCGAGGAGAGGGGGACTAAGAGGGGTGGCAATGAGAGAACAGGCGCGATCGCAGCAATTCGTGGTCTTGACAATGACACAGAAACTACCATCAGTATTAATTCTCAGAATGATTTTTTTCCATTGGTTCATCAGAATTTAACTTTTCTTCCCCAAATTGAAAGTCAAAAGATCATTGAAATGAAGTAACAAAGTAAAGATTGGTAATAAAAGGAAAATAATAAAAAAATGTCATTTTCAAATTTGACATGAATCTTCCTCGGTGAGTAGGGGCTGTAAGGCCACATATATCTTTATAAAATTTCAATACTAGTAAAGGGAATGAGTGTTTCAATATTGTCAGTATAATATCTTCAGATAACACATCAGATTTTAGGTAGGCATACATTTTATTAATATTACTATTATTACTATTATTATTATTATATTATTATTATTATTAATTATTATTATTTACTCTCCCTCAACATCTCATTGTAAAGTTACAAAAATAAAATAACTTATAGATAAGTATAGAGAAACAAAATACAAATATGAAAATAAAATATTTACACTTTTGCTCGGCGATGCCCATAGACAGTAACGCACCTCTGCAGTCGTGTGTGCAAGGGTTGGCGAACTGATTAATGTTTTTGTAGCGCCATGAATTGATACTTGAATTATAGCCAATAAAACAATAGTTTTATTCGAATTAATCAATTTTTAAAAACATCTTTCATTCTGATCTTTAATATTGATGTTTGTTCCTGTGTTTGCCGGGGAAAGACAGGGATCCTGTATTCTTGATCAAAAACTGTATCGATATCGCGGGCCAATTGTTAGAAGTTATGAAGGTCGCTCATAGTTGCCGGGACACATGCACATTTTTGCGTTAAATTATTCATTGGAGTTTAAAATTACAATCGTACGGCAATTTTTTTACTGCTTGGACTTACGTACCTCGGAATAATCAATTATGCATCTCGCATCTCGAGACCGGCTGAGGAGTGTCAGGATCCCTTGTCACCCCAACCAAACATTAGATATTAAAATTTATCCAATACTACTAAACACAAATTTTAATATACTAATATTAAGAGCTATAGGGTCTTCTCGTGCCCTGTTATTATTTAAGCTTTTTAACTCAAAAATAAAATTCAATTAAATATCCTGAGACTGTAATTGTTTCGTCAAACCATTCATTCCAGCTTCCAATTAAAATACTAATGGTGTCACTACGATGCCTCTGACTGGGAGGTTCTAGCGTTCAAGTCCAGACGGTGGCAGAATTTAAGACACTAGCTGCATTGCTAGGTCGAATTCAGCTAATGTCTGGAAAAGATATTTTGCGGTCGGTGCTCTGCTGTTGGAGACTCCTGGATGGAGAGATACCTGGTTGGAGAGAATCCTTGCAAGTCGACGGGTAGGTGGGCGTCGGATCGGAGGGAAGATGGCCGCTATCTTCTTCAATAAATAAATTAATAAACATGCGCTTTCGCTATAGGACTAATAACTTTAGCAGTTGATGTGACCATATAACTAATAAATTAATCAATCAAAACTTGAATATCGAAATAGATTAGTGAGAAGTTCGATTTTGTTTTTATAACTTGATTCGTGATAAAAAAGTTATTTTCCTTGCATGTAATATGGCAGAACAAGAATATCCGCTATTAGCATTAAATTGTCATTGTGAGCCTGCCCAACAAAATATTCAATCCTTTGTATACTTAAATACTTTGTCAGAAGCAGCTAGTAGACGAAAATGAATTCATAGAATTTTACGAAGAAACTGGCTTGCAATGCTAATTACAATTGTCGAACACTTGGCGTTTGCTTACAGTCTTGTAACTTGCCAATAGAACTTCACAAATTTAGTACAACCAAGCGAATATCCATTCCAGTCTATAAAAACGTCCGTCTCTTATATTTTCTAAACTGTTCAAATACCTAGATGGAACTTCCATCAAACGTTTCAGGGTATATGGGCTTATTAGTTATTTGCTTATTGATACCATCTTTTTTTATTTCCAAGACTCTTGACTGAAGTAGTTTTTTAATAGAACACTCTACCTTTTACTTGAATCGATAGTTCTTGAGAATACAAATTTATCGAAGTCATATTTGTTGGTATTGGTTGAATATTTAAAGAATGCGGATTCTGGCGTCACACGAAAAGTATGAAGCTTCACTATGTAGCATGTAGCTTCTCTCAGCGCACGTTTTGTTCAACTCGCCTTTTGCTTGTAGTGATAGGAGGTAAGGTCGAGTTACTATTTTGTTAGCAATGCAGAAAATAAATCATGCAGTTCGTTTACCGTTGTAAAAACTTTTTTCTATAACTCGGGAAAGAAAATGTCTAACTTTTTCAAATGTCACTAATCTCGCGCTTTTTAAATTACATTTTTATTTAACTTGAAAGATGAGTAAGAGTTAATCTGTTTATAGTTAAAATGATGGGAGGGGATTCTGGAACTCAAAAAATGTGCGCAGATTATCTTCTCCTCCATACGTCACATACAGTGTTTACTGTTTTTTTGATTACATAGATAAATCAGCAGGTAAATAGTTCGTGGTGCGGGACCGGACAGCTCAACGGTCTTCAAGCCTCACGGCTCAGGGTAGAGCAGCGCCCTTGTAGACCACAAGGTCTTGGTCGAATTCCTTTTTAAGAAGCGGCCTCGCAAAGCCCTACGGTAGCATTCAAGGTGCTGAATTCACAATTCGCACCAAAAAATCAATGATGTGGAAACGAAATCAGCGATGTTCTCATTAGCAACGTCGTTCACCACGAAGATTGGAACTATTTTCTAAAAGGAGCATTCTAGAATCATGCAGGACTTTAATCATGTATCAAGACTTACGAAGTACTCTCCACAGTTAAAAGAACGCTGATATTTTTGAGATCATTGCGTGTCAATCTTACAGCTAGACTTCCTCTAGTTTTTACGGTTTCGATAGATTTACGAAAGCTAGCCAAAAATGCAGAAATAACTCTCATTGTGAAAATAGTGTTGTCGGGCAATTGCGTGTATTAATTGCGATAAAATGTTAAAATCATTTGAACTAATTTACCCATGTTTCGAAAGTGCGTGTTAAAATGATATTATAGCATCTTTGCTGGGGGCACAACAAAATTCGAAACTTCACTAACTGAAAACCCACATTTGAGAACGTTTTAATTAGAGTAATATGTAATAAAATGCTGGATTTTGAAAACATTTCAAAGTGAGAATGAAAATTGCTAAGCAATAGGTTTCCAAGTATTTATTTGCGAATGTGAAATTTCGAAACTAGAAGTTTAAAAGAAAACTAATTTGTCGGAATCGACAATTAAGATAAATATATCCGAAAATTGTCCGACACCTCAATAGAAGTTTTAGCCATATGAATTCTCATTCCATTGTGGTCTCACATGTACTTGTAAAGAGGTTTAAGGGTAGTACTATTTATAGTTTAATCAAGGATTGTAAGGAGATAACTGGGATTAATACATTAAGCAATTTGAATTAGATAAATGCAGAGCGTTTTAATACAACTTATAAGTTAAAATTCCATTGAACATCACCAATTTACAATTAAACGTGTTGTGCTATGGTACGAATTTCCGCATTAAATGCAATGTAAAAATCATGAGCAGACTTAAAAATATATTAGGCACCTAAACTTATTTAAGATTGCAAACAAATATCCAACAATGTTTCAATTGAAAATCAATTTTTCCTCTGCGTGTCGACCACTGCGCAGACGACTGGATCTTTATAACTGCAGCCTGGTATACCACAGGAATCCTGGAACAAAGGAAGTTTGAAAGTTTCTATAGTAAATGTTAGCGAAGACCTAATTGTCAGCAAAATTAAGGCAGGTTATTTACAAAAAATGGCATGGGAACATAACGAGCACATCTGAATATTTTGCGTGTAATGTAGAATGTTAATGACATAAAAATCTACAACTTTAAGTGTCTAAGTCTCTTTAAGTCTGTCTCTTAAGTCTCTCTAAGTCTGTCTCTTTAAGTGTCTTTAAGTGTCACTTTAAGTGTCTATAAGAAATTATTACAGTTCCGCCTGTACACGAGGTACGGTAGTGCAGAATTTGAATTACAAAGACTAATCGCTTGATTGTTCTACCGAAATCATTTTCGCAAACAATATAAAAGGCAATATAATATAAAAACTCACCTTATTTGGGACACAGGAAAGAACTCTCGCAACGCTGCCCACGCTCTTGCTTATTACTTTATCAGCGCACAGGAGAGGCGCATCGCAAACTCTTGCAAAGAGGACAGCTGGCATAATAGCAACGTACATTCCCAGCTCCATACAAGACACAGCGCAGCCAGTTACTTTGTTAGTTTTCGCCGCTCCATATGCTCGTTGCAAACATTGCACGGCGGAGAGTCGCAACAGGTAGTTCATGGTTTCAAAACGCGTCGGAGGGCGGCAGTAAATTTCTTTGGCCTCGCTGAAGGAAGACCTTTTATGAGACTTGTTCGGGAAGCGAGAAGAGCTAGGTGTAGTTTGAAATCTTCGATTGTCATCAATTGGCGTGAGAAGACCTGGAACGGCTCCACTTTCCGGAGGTACGGTTTGGTCAATAGAGTTTTCACAAGGATTCTGCGATTGCTCGGAATCCTTTACACCACTGTCGGCTGTTGCAGATTTTTTATCACTGGACGTAGGAAGACTATGTTCGTTCTTTTCCTCAGATATGAGTGGAATGCTTTTATCCTTCTCCGAAGCCTTTTCGTCGGTACCAGTAGGATTCATGAACTGCATTTCTCCCGATTCGGAACTTTCCGGGTCACTTGACGATTCTCCGGTGTTGCGTCCGCGATCTTCACTGGACGTTCCTTTGACGTCACCAGACTCCTTTTTAGAGGTCGAAGATTCGTCATTGATATCTTTTCCCTGTTCAGAAGCAGAAGATTCTTTTGAATTTGAATCAGATTCCCCTTTTTCCGATTTTTTATCAGTTTCGCTTATAATTGGTTTTTCGTCGGAATCAGCATTGGAAATGGCTTCAAGCAAGAGCTTGCTGTGTGGCTTCTTCCCGAGGCCTTGGGCGTGTTCCGTGGTAGAAGTGGGCGTGTCCCGAATGCCGTCTTCGGGAGCGGGGGCGTCCGCTGGTGGAGCGTCCACGCCGCCGGCAGGGTCGGGGGCGTGGTCGTGGTCCGACTGGGCGGCGGGCGTGTTGTAGGCGTCCTCCGCTTCGCCCGGGGTCCCTGGCTGCACGCGCGTGGACGCGTCCAGGGCCAGCGGCGTGGGCTGGGCGCTGGTGGGCGTGGCGGGCGCGGAGGCCGGCTCCACCAAGGGCTGGTCGCTGGCGGCGGAGGCCGGGGTGAGCTGCGGCTCCGTCGCGGGCGTGTTGGTCGGGGCTGCGGGCGTGGAGGCCAGCTCCACGGTGGGGGTGTCGGTGGTCGCGGAGGCGGGCGTAGAGGGCGGGTCGGGCGTGTGCGTGGAGGGGACGGAGGCGTCGGGCGAGCGCGGGGAGGCCGCGTCGCTAGACGGAGACGCCACGTCGCTGGACGATCGCTCCCGCTCCTCGTTCAGCCGCTCTTCCTCCAGAAGCTTCGCGTTCTGTGTTCCTGCGGACAAAATGCGCACTCGCATTAACACACTATACCGTTAGTTTGACGTTTTCCATGAAGTGAAATGCTTTATAACCCGAGGCGAGTCACGAGGTGAATTCAAAACTATGAGTAATCCGACACAGCCCACAGAGTCGCCGAAATGTACGCACAATTGCCAGAAGCTTCTGTTATTAGTAAACTACAAAAACCCCTTTCTTAAAACTAATAACTAAAAGAGTTTCCAACTTTTCTCCCCTTTCAAACTCTAAAATATATCAACATATTCTTCTTCAAATACTCACGCCACCGGCTCAACATTTTCTCCCACTATAAAAGCAACGAAAACACTGCAGTCCGTTACCAAATCGAAACTAAGCCGAACGCGGCTGTACGGCGAATATAACTGGCCCGAGGACGTAAACTCGCGTCAGCGCTCGCAGCGCGGCCAATCGGAGCGCGTCCGTGGAACGCAGCGCAGTCGCGCTCGATTGATTGGAATTCCAGCGGCTGCGGTCGACGCGCGCGTTCGATTCCTCGCGGCGCGGGGGCGGCGCGTCCAGGTGGCTTTCGAGGAGCAGATGTTGCGCAGCCCAAGTGGAATTAACTGAATGATTGAGCTTGCTAAGACACTATTGGGGTCGGTTCAAGTAAATTAATCCACATATAATTTGGGGTTCGAGATGAAAATGTTTCGTTAAGTGGAAGCATTGTCAGATACAAAGGTCATTTAACATTCTACATTTGTATTTTTTGATAAAAAATTAACTTAATTCTAATTTAATTCTAAAAATTATATTTTTGGGATGAATTCCTTATGGGGAAACGTCAGAGAAGTTAAATTTCCGATGAAAGTGGAAACAATTATTGAGGATTAATAAATTAATAATTATAAATACTATTATGTTTGTATCTCATCAAAATTGTACAAGAATTCACAAACTTGCGCAATATTATTTTCAACTAGATGGAGTCCTTCTAAAATGAATGGAAATGTTTGAGATGTTAGTTTATTTACTAATTAACTGGTCTAGTCAAATATTATTAGATAGAAAACTCAAATATAATTTATGTCATACTAATGATAGCTTTCTGAAATTCAAGAATTGAAATACATATTGTGATTTTTTAAAATTTATAACATGTGTTGAAATATTGGAAATTTACAAATCTTATCAATTATTTCATGTGTTGCTGACTGAAGCGACTGTGACTTAATTCTATATGTCTCTTATCCAGGAGAAAGTATGTATCATTAGTATGTTAAGATTTTTATTCTGTACTAAATGCTTATTGAACAATACACAGAATAGTTATTTATGATGCGAATGGTAAAAGTGATGTTTTACCATGCGAGTAAAAAAGGTTAGCACACGAGGTTTCTATGGCGAGTAGCATAATCTTACGAGCAAACTAAAATCAAAAATAATATTATGCATATTGCCCAATCTGGATTCAGTAGAGTTTTTACAAGATCTTAATAGGAAAAATATACACTCATCCTCATGGATCATTGTTTCATTCTCAGATTTATCTGAACACTTGAAAATCTTCTCACGATTGGCACTAGTGACAAAGATTGAGCCCTTAGTACTCTGTACACGCCGTAAAAGAACAGCATGTACTAGAGGCTGTCAAAAAATAAATTTTCTGTTATTTGTAAAACTTACGTTGGTAATTCATTGTTTAGAAGTAAGTATTGAGTGTCATATCCATTCTCTCTAAATTTATGGGCTTGACAGTGGCATTGTGTTCTCTTTTAGAATAAGTGATTTTGGTTTCAACAAAAAAACGAATATGTGTTGTTACAGAATTCCTCTCATTGGGAAGTATGATTTTTATTTTTAAGAATATAATTGTCTACAATATTCTAATTTTTAAGTGAGTTAAATTTTACCCGTTATAAAGATACCTTTTTAATAATGAAAATATACTCTTACACTTCGTATACTTGTCAATAAGGTACCTTCACGCAGTTTTAATATTTCATTCAGATCTTCTGGTCTTCTTCTACTGTACCTAATTGGGGAGAATTATTACTATTCACCATGGATATTATAAAAGGATTTTATTTATTAAAATAATTTCATAATGTACACTTATTCAAACGTCTATGCCTTTACATTTTTATATTAACCAGATATCTTCCGTCTATGAATGACAAATTCCAAAGTTCCCAATTATCAAATTGTTTTGCGAATCTGTGATATTTTTAATTGATTAACTTTCCTCTGAATAAAATTTTATTTTTCTGTAGTAATACTCATTTGAGATTATAGTAGTATACTATCATAGCTTTTACTGTAATGTTACTTTAGAAAGAATTAACTTTTAATATTCAATTTATTTTCGTTTAAGAAATTCATGACGTCTAACCTTCACGTGGTTTTTTAAACATTTATACTGTCAGGTAATCCCGTTCTCTCAGTTTGGTAATTAATGCACATAATGGGAGTTCCTCAATCGAAGCCATTGTTTGCTAGTGATTTTGAGATTTTGACTATTTGGACAACTTCTGGCTCAGTCTTTTTTTAATCTATTAAAGATATTTTAGTAGAACAAGATCTTATGTATTTACTGCAATTTCAAACATGATCCTGCGGGCGAGGAACTGAAACTGGTTTAACAAACTGGAATTTGTACTAATGTTTTTCAGAACTTCCATGACACTTGTCTTAACCTTGTTATGTAAATGGAAGTAAGAAAATTCCTAGCACTGTCAATAGAGAAGTCTCTACTAGAGAAAATAAGTAAAATCATTTTATAGAAATGTGTGTAACATAGAAAAAGTCGAATAGGCAATTTCTGAGGCAGGCAAGTCTCAGTAGGCAATATCAAAAACGTCTAGAATAAAATTCAAATTATGAATTCAACACATGATTGTAACACAGTTGGCATTAAAAATTAGACGATAACGTTTAAAAAATTTCTAATGGTTTCGTAATCAAAACAAAACCTCCACCAGACGTATTTGCACTTGATTTAAAGTATGAGTTGTGATCCGATGAAACTATGAAGAGAAAATGTTTTGCTATGTATTTCAAGATGTGCTAAAGAAAAGAAATGAACGACAAGTCATTGCTTCAAAAATATTTATTAAAAAACGGTAAAAACTCCATTGATATACATTTAAAGAACATTCTGGAACAAATTACAATCTAATTGCATTTTTTAAACAAGACAACAGCAATACATAGGGCAATTCCTTGCAACTAAAAGATTTGATATTAAAAAACGTCTTCTGTCGAGTGTTGATAAATCTTTGAAACCGCAGAAGAAACTGCTCGTGGACAACAGCACACACAGCCAGCGACATAAGTTCTAGTAGTCGCGTACATCTGGAAAAGAAAACTCCATTAGACTACAGGATATTGTAGCCAGGAATTAGTACCAAAAAGTAAGCATACCTGATTAGGATTGACCTTCATGCAAGGGAAGGCAGCCTCGACAACATCCAAACCGAGGCACAATGTCGCATCCACGCAGCGGACGGGCAGGTTGCAGACTGAGGCTAACGCGGAGGCCATGTACATAGCCGGGGCTAGCGTTAGTTTCGCTGTAGTTTCGGCCAAGTATACAGACCAACCAGTCAAGTTGTTCGTTTTCAAGACTTCGTACACGTTGACAGTGCACTTCATTATTGGTAGTTGAACAATTCTCTCTACGATCTTCAACTTCCCACTTTTACCTTTCGTGTCCGATACGATAAGCCGTCCGTTTTCGCTGACTCCTGGTTTATCGAGTTTTTCCTTTTCATGATCCTCTCGTCCAGAGCTGAGCGACGTGTTGGTAGGAGGCAAGTGTGAGGCAGGAAGTGCATTGCCGTCGGTATTCGCTCTTGCTGGAGGCGCTCCGCTTGCTGTAGCAACAGGGACGCGAGCCTCTTCAGGATCAGGTTCGGGGAAGGGGCCAGGAAAGGGATCAGGGGCGGGATCAGGCAGAGGCGGGGTAACGGGAGGGGGAGCTGGTGTGGTGGAGGAGGAAGATGCGGATGTATCATCCTGGGCTTCATCAGCCACCTTCGGGGAGTAATTATGTTCACCGTTCGGCATCTCAAATCTGAAACAGAAAATACAGTATTACACTTAATTTTAAATAACTTACTCTACAACAGTACCGTAATACACACCAACTTCGAAACGCTGCTTCAACAGATACGGACACTGTTAAATGAAGTAGGTATTGGGAAGTGCACTCGAATACAACTACCACTCAACTGCAGCGATCTCTTTAAAGGCGATGTTTCGCTAGGTGGCAGTCGGAGACTCGCCTCGCAGTGTCAGATTTCGACGAATAGGAGAGCGCGCGTGAAATGTTCCGCACGACGACTCCCTTCTCCTCATTTGAGGATTTCGATACAATGATTTAATTGAGTAATTCAAAACACATATGATTATTAAAAATTAAAAATTAAAGTTTTATGTATCGAGATTTACGAAAACTCAGCTATTGTTTTAAAATACTCGTAGCGCAATCAACAGAGTTAAAAATTAATAAAACATTTTAATATAAACAATCTTGATTACTGTTTAGTAGTTAGATTTTTGCATTAAACATTACATTTATTATAATATATTTCATTAGTTTACGTGTTTACTTAGTTTATACAATTTAATTTGAAATTTACAAACACTTGAAATGAATGCAAATGATGTCTGTTTACTCAGTTTGAGTGTTTACTAGATTAAATATTGTTTCTAACATATAAAAGTACAAGAAATCCTGCGTTCAAGCGTTGAAGTTGAATCCTCCATTAAATGAATGAGTTTGTTAACAATGTCCATTTTAATCGCAATTCAATAACGTCTAGCTGAATTTCAGTTCAATGAATGTAACTAAGTAATTTACTCAAAATAATAACTGTAGTTTATAGTTAAAGTAGAATTATCGTGTTTACAGCCGGTTAGAATTCAATTGTATACGGAAATTTATGTCTTTTTTAGCATTTTTACATATTTATTGATTTTAAAAATAATTTTGAATTTATAACGAAGTTGAATCAATTCAAGGAGTTGGGGCAATAACGAGATAAGCCACACCAGCTACAGCAAGCCTTTTATCTATTCGGAATCGATTTTTGATTCGGTACATTGATTTTTGTTGAAGTATGTATCAACTTGTTTCTGCAGCAAGTTTTAGTACTTTATGAATATCCCGCCGCTGATAAAAAAAGAGATAAACCTCACAGAATGGATATATCTTTTAAAATACGTTGGTTGTGTTGTAATTGATGATGATCTGGCTTGTAACTGCCCGATCATCATTAATTTTTTATACTCTTTTAACCAAACACTTATTATATTGCATTATCAATAATAGAGCAATGTAAATTTGGTGGAATAATGTATTATTTTTCTTTGCCATTATTTACGTCCAGTTTAAATAATTTGTTTTTCAAGTTTTTTAATATTTTGTTTCATTACTTACCATAACTTTGAGAATCATTATATAAAGAATATGCAAGCCGTAACCTGCAATTATGGTATTTAATTTGAAGTTTGAAAGAAATATTTCATTTAGATTTTACATATGAGAGGGTTTAAAGAAATATACAATTTAATAAAAGATTCTGAAATAAGGAGGAGGTCTCTTGTGTAGTGAGAATGGATTCGTATGTGCGGTGAACATGTAAAGAAAGTGTCGGGAAAACCATATAATCAGTGGAAACATGTAGGGATTAGTGGAGAGGGCTTGTGGGGAAACGTGCAAGAGATCATGTGAGCAACATGTATAAACATGTGCGGAAACATGGAATATACGTGAAATATACCAGAAACATGCAGGGAGTACGAGATATTTGCGGGAAATATGAGAAGAATATGCAAGAAACCTCTCAGAAGAGTATTCGTGGGACGTTGGGTATATTTCTGAAGGCATTATTCAGAATCATATTTTTTACTTTATTATATTCGTGTATTATACATTGTCTTGTACTAGTATATATCGACTTCCTTCTATTTGTAGGTCTCATCTCAAATCAGATAACTTTGTTAGGTTTAAAGACAAATTCTGAGAGAGTTTGAGGTTAAGGCTAGTTTAGTACACAGCGGTATTTTTGTTCTTAAATACAGGTTTCCGTTATTCTGAATTCCGAAAAAAGAGAGTTTCCCGATAATTGTTAGTTTTTTGCAGAATAATATATTTTTATATTTGGGAGAGAGAGAGTATACGAGAGAGTAAATGTGAGACTATCTGCTTTGTCAGCTTTATACCTTTCTTTGTTTTCACGTTTCTACCTGTAGATTAACTGATTATATGGCTTTTCCGGGCACGACAACTCTAATTGTCATTAGACCCGTATGTGTAGTGCATGATTTATAATGGAAGATGTTCTTCCTCGGCTCGATGGTGATTTCCGGCGCAGGACCTACGCGTCGGCTTGCAGTATTTCTCCATCCAGGTCTCTCCTCCAACGCCGTCCAATCCGGGAAAGCTCTAAGCTCTCGACTGCCCTTATGACATGCGTGATTGTATAGTGCATGTAAGTGCAAATGTATGTTAGTAACCGGTGAAGATAGGACAAGAAAGGGGAAGGAAAGATCGCGCGCGGTCCATGGAACCCTAGGTCTTCTCGCATTGAGGCACACCAGTGCCATCAGTTGGTACCTTGAACCACCTCGGCAGGTTGCGTTTACGATATGGATGTATTTCCATGGAATGCACTTCTCTTTTTTCGGTTCGGTTCTAAGAAACACCCATCCCAAGGCTGAGTTTGCTTCCTCTAGATGCTGCCAACGGGACACATGGAATTACTAGGCTCTTTGTCCTTTTTACCTATGTGATTCACTAGTAATTATCAATCATTTTAAATACTTTACATCGAACAATTGTAGCTCACCATTCCTTTACTAGTGTTTTCAAAGAGAAAAGGAAAGGGCATATTGCTTCGGTATATTTTCACGCAACTCCGCAATCGCGCTATGCCTACTTCTCAATGTCTATTTCGTAGTGAAGGCATCAGTAAAGTCGAAAAGGTGCTTTCTACGTTTTTCTGAAGGGTATTGCTGATAACATTTAAAACAGTTTTGAACACATTTTGAACATAACGTAACAAAATGTTCAATCAATTCAGAACGTTATTTAGTGAATCTTCCTTGTCAGGTTTATGTATAACAAATATCGAGGAACATTTTGTGAAAACTTAAAAGTTTATATAAGAATAATGAAAATGCTACAGGACGGACCAAACACAACAGTACTGAAGTAGTCCCTGAATTGAAATTTTATATGGCGTGGTATGGTACGTAGTATGAAAATATCTACTAAAAACTATATCTAATTTTCTTACCGACATTTAGCCTAAAATCTAATGGTGATGGAGGGGAGGTTTTTCAACAAGCCTAAAGAGCCCGTTTACAGAATATTTCTAACAGACTTATTTCATTAATGCATTCTGATGCAATAAAATTAGAAATACATATTTCATTTCATGATTGTACGACATTAACTGCATGCCAGAATATCAGCTTTTGTTAACTTTTGCGAACAGAAAACCAGCACAACGCACGTCGCAAAGTTCGCTCACGAGCCGTGCCAATTTCATGTCCGTAAACTGTGCAACGGGCGCATTTTTAATGTCCGTTAACGTGCGCCGTTGTGCCGTCCGAAACATTTCAATGTCAAGTTCAGATGTCGTCCTCAAGTGTATTAATACATTGTTTAGTTATAACTTTCAAAATATTCTTGAGAATTACAAAAAAAAAAAAAAATAGTTATAAATGGAAATTTCAATTAGATCTATTTGTGTAAAAAGAGTTTTTACTTTACCGAAAATTTACGCCAGTGAACATACGCTTTTGAAATGACGTTGACACTAATTTGGTTGATTAGAATGCAAATTTTACCTAGGATTGCGCTCATGTCGTAGTCATCATGTTAGCTATTTAAAGTATCCCCTACATCCTTGGCAAAGACTGAAGACATGCTGGAGGAAATTAGTGGTACATTAAGCCTCGTCGAAACTTGTAATGTAATAATTCCCATTACTGAGCAGTTTTATTTTTAATAAGGGTATAAAGGGTATGAAGAAAAAAAAACCAGTTCAATTATAGTTGCAGTTAAAATTTTATTTTTCTTTCTTTTGGTAAATATTTAACAATAAAATAACGATAAAGCCATAAACAAGTATTCAGTACATTTAGTTCCAGAAAAGAATTTATGAACAAGGAAATCTATTGTGCGTTGACGTTGGCGGAGCAGTAGTTGGCCGCGAAGGAGACGTCGCGCAGCAGCGCGTGGGTGTCCCGCAGGGCTCCGCGCGCCGCCGTGGCGGCCACGTGCGCGGGCGGGCAGCAGGCGGCGCGGGGCGCGCTGCACAGGCAGAGCTCGGCCAGGCCGCACGCGGCCATAGCGGGCGCGCCCACGGCGGCGGCGGGCACGTCGCACAGGCAGAGGCGCGCGCCACGGCACACGGCCCGGGCGCTGAAAAGGCACGCGCCGGCCGGGAGCACGCACGCGCACAGGGCTACGTCGCGACAGGTCTAGAAAGAAAAAAAAAGCCAAATAACGATAGAGTTATTTAAGAAGGAAATTTATGGATTGGAAAAAATTGAGGATATGCAAAACAACATTGCAAGAGTGGTTTAGCCATTTAGAAACGTGCCAAGTAAATGAAATAATTGGATTGAGGGCACGAACGTATCTTGCAGTAAATGTAAGCGGTCCTTTGAGTAATATACCTCGACACAGTGGCATTTGGTTCATTTGAGCGTTAAAAATCTAGACTACAATACGTTATCGTCTCAAATACAGCCATGTGCATCATTCACCATTTGACAATTTAGCTCACAACCTAAAGAAACGTGCCTTCTGCGGAGTCTGCGCGATGCAGGGCAGCACTCGCTGGGCGAGGTCGAGCCCCTTGCACAGCAGCAGGTCGGCGACGTAGACGGGCGTGGCCAGCGCCCCGCGCAGCGGCCCCATCGCCAGGCGCGCCGGCGCCGCCGCCACCAGCGCGGCCACCTCGGCCGCCGTCAGCGCGCATGCGACGCTCGCGTGCGACTCCTTGGCGCGCGCGTACAGCGCCGCGGCGGAGCGCACGGGCGGCAGCGCCAGCACGCGCCGCGGGAACTCCAGCGGCCGCCGGCACGAGCACGACGGCCCGCAGCGGCACGACGTGCACGGCTCGGGTGCAGAGGGCTCGCCGGTCGCAGCGGCCGCTTGGGCCCCGGAGGGCACGTAGGACACGTTAGGTGGAACCAGCGCCATGGGGGAATCTGCCGGGGAAGAGCTTCCGGAAGGAAACACTTCTAGCGGAGTAGAGTCAGACATCGCCGCTGTAAACCACGAGAAAATTGGATTTTGACAACCCAGAAGATCTCCAATACTGCGATTTGGATTTCCTTTCTACCCCCCATAAAAAATAAACTGAAAATTGTTCGCGGTTGCCGTGGTAGACACGCAGTCGGCAACTGACTCAGTTCCTCACTCCAATTATTAAAATAAAACCGAAATATTTTTTTAATTAAATTCTTCGATGGGTTACGAATTGTCCAAGTCTACTACAACATCCAATCATTCCATTGAACAAAATAATACTGTAGAAAATATTTTCCACCACTGAATAATCAAATGACATTGAAGACGTATCCTACTCGTGAACTTTCATCTTACCTTAAGATTGATTTTCAAAGAGATCTAAACTGCCCGCTGCTCTTCTCTGACTCAACTGCCTGAGCAAGAACGCTCCCTGGTATTTAAAAGACAACGGTCCGCCGGACAGCATGAATAAACTCGCTAAGTTCAAACCTGCGAACGAATGATAAAGATCTTGGTGCGTTGGAGTAGTTATTGTAGCATTCTCTGTGACAGAGCGGCTCTTTATTCTTTGGGGCGTTTATTTATTCTCTAATCCAAAGCTACCTCAGAGTCGTTGCATGGAGCCTTCAAAATTTGTAGTTTGCAGTTCTTGGTATTGTACCAATATTTTAATATTTTCAGTACCTTTTAAGTTTAAAAGTTAAGTTATTAAAGAAACAATTTTATTTCTTAAGGTATATATTGGAATATGTTTCATGAATTACTAAGAAACCACCCCTTTTTTATTATTTGTTTGTTAATCAATTATGAAGTCTTACCCAATGTAATTGTCTAAAATTTAAAATTTTTAGTTGATAGAAGTAGCAAATACATCTACTAGTAATCATTATTGAAACAAAATTGAGAATAGTATGTAGAAATTATATGCTTACATATTGATGAAATGCATCTATGTGAATACTGATATATTACAGATATACTAATATATTTTTAAACTGGTATATTAGTAAAATCACTGAATGTGAGACATTATAGTAAACATTATGTTTCCATTGACTCATAGAAAAGCCTTGTGAAAACTGCTTTTTGGATTGCCTGTTATAAGGTTCATGAGATTTTATTCAAGAAACTAAAGCAAAAGCTACCTCCATTCAAGTAATTCTCAGTCTAATATGCTAAGCTATATTTACCAAAGGGAGATAATTGATGTACATTACTAAGAACAACTAAATTTAGGTGATCAAAATTTGTATATACATATCAAGAATTTCTATTATACCAATTACAATTTCATTTTGTACATTGAGGCAATGCCACCAAAACATTTTCAAGTGCCTCACAAATTCATCCCTTATCAATAACTTTAAAATTTAAGTTTTTGTTTTTCAGTGAATATCTAAAATTAAATTCAAAAGTGAAAAAACTACAAAATGAAATATTAAAAATTTAATTATTTATAAAAATCTCATGTTTCTGACATTATTTTCAAACAGGAACACAACTCCAGATTTTTCAATGATACCCTTTATTGTGCTTTATTTCTTCGGAAGGAGTCTTTTAACAATTGTTTACAATGTTATTGTTGCAGAAAATTATCTATAAAATATTACTTTTTACACAATGTCACTGACACATTTTATTAACAATTTCCAAATTAATCATTCCTCAAATAATACTAAAAAGGCTGTATCAATCTCTGAAGAAAAACGTTTTGTACAAGGTAAACTCACTGAGGGTGCCTAATTGATTTCCCCTAAAAAATTATATAAAAAATTATCTTCTCATTCCTGAAACTTCATTGATAGCGTATACACAACTAATAAATAAGCACAAATGAAATTGCTTAGTACTTGTAAAAATGTTGGGTGAATATGATGACTTCTGTTTGAAAATACTTAACAAATATGGATTATTTATTAGCTTCATGTGTTCTGTAGTTTTAATACAGACTTCATTGCAAAATATATATTTTCTCCTGTAGTGTCAACTAAAAAAATGTGATGGAAACACCTTGCATCTCATGCAGCTTGAAAATAACTAGAATGAATTGCTATAAAAAGATGAATTGATATAAAAAAATTCTTCTGTGGAACATTCTGAAAATAAATGATAAATTTGCAAATGTTCATTGTTGTTAATATATGAAAACATTGCCTATAATAAATTATTTTTCAAAAGAAATTTTACATAAATGTTCTGGGCAGTAAATAAGGTTTTTCTGAAATAGGGATGTAAAAACATGTTAATATTTTCCAGTTTGTAAAATAAAATAAATGGATAAAATATTTATTAATTTAAATACAATTTTAAAACTATAACTATTCATCAGAGATAAAGCACCATTTATTCTTTGTATTGTAGCATTTCAAAATAAACTTCAGAAATGTAGAAAAAAATTTATGAAAATCACTTTCATCATCAAATTGGTATTTTTCAAAAATAATTTAATAGAATTGTCATTTTATTTTAGAATGCTGTGTAACACAATTGTCATAAGCAATCACAAACTGATTAACAGTTTTACATTTTAAGAAAATATACATATTTTATTACCTTTCATACCATAGACTATTAACAATTAAAAACATTCAATATTATTATTTATTTATTTTATTCAATTCACATTCAATATTAAATACAGTTAACATTACAAGCATTGAATTTTTTTAATTATGAAAGAAATTATATATATATATATATATATATATATATATATATATACATAAAAAATCAACTCTTAGTGATATTAAGATTGATAGACATTATCAACACTCAATTTTTCCTTCTAGCATAAAATTATATAATTTTTAAAGAATTTTTATAATCATATTGTGTGATTATTATTAAATTATTTTTGTACCATATTCTGGAAAGTGTTTTGTGCAAAATTTAAGTATTAATGTATTTAGTTTCTCTTTGAGGCACTTTGTTTTCTGAATGAATTATGAGTCATTGCCAACTTATAATTATTTCATTGTAAATGCCAATTAAAATTCACCACAATACCAACATTTTTTTCTCGCAATATTTGTTTGATATTTTAAAATTTAAATAAGAGTCATTCCTAAATTTCTTACCATTCGTGCATATTAAAATGGTTGTGCAAGCAAAATTGATCTTTCCTGTTGAATGAGTTTTCTTGGAATATTTTAGGTAGTTCTTCAAACTAACATTATTGAAAATTCTACACTTCTTTGAGAAGAGGATCACACTTTGTCATTTAAAAATATAATACCTAATGAAAATTCAACAGAATATGTAGTAAATTGTCCATGAGTATGTTAATTTCCAAATAGAATTGATCTGTTAGTGCAGAAATGACGTAAATTCCATATGTAGATTTAAAGAAAGTGTGGTTTCCTTTGTGTTTTACATTCTTGGAATTGTATTTTATTACATTTGTTAAGAACTTATTTTTCCACTTGAGACTACGTCTAAAACTTGTGATTTAAATTCACGACTGAACTCCACTTCGAAGAATTGATTTTTCCCAAATTTTTGAACAAACCTTACCTTCATAGCGAACGCTATCAATCCCCATTTCAGATCTATTTTGCTCCTCCGTTAAAAGAAAGGGAATGAGGTCCGGGTAAGAGCATCTGATACACCTCTACAATCGTACGAGAGAATTCTGCATTTTCGCGAAAAAAATCGTGAAAAAAATTGAGGCTTTAGGTTTCATCCAATATAAACCTTTTCATTGTAAAACGGTCAATTTTTTTTAGGATTTTTATTACATTTACGAAATGATAATACTTCCCTTGTTAAAAAAAAGCAGACACCTACGCCTACGATTTTTGTAGGTCCAATTACTGAACTCTATTATTCTCAACAGTTCTAAAAAATCGTTTTCGATTTTATTAATTGACATGGATTTAGAGTTTCATTTACTAGTAATATCCGTCTTTTCCCATGTCCAAAGTTATGTAACCATTTCAACGAGAATCTTTTCACATTTGTGTAGAATTAGCCTGTGACCTGTTACATTTTCGATACTACTATAATTTTTACGGATTTAGAATTTTTTTAACTTCAGGTTTTGACGATTTACAAAATTAGCATTCATTTGTAGTCTTTTAACAGCAAGAAGAGTTGAGAGGAACACAGTAAAGGAGAATTGGAGGTAAACTTATCAGAAACAAGTTGAGATGGAAATAGTATACTCTATTTACTTTGATATTGGTGGTAAAATAAATACATAAACATCCAGTAAAAAACACATGCAGGAAAAACCAATCACAAACTAAAGAAGCGTAGAAATCTCAACCGAACAAAAATCTAAGGCCCGAAAGCGTCACCGTCGGACCGGAACTGGCCGGCGATGCGGTCGGAGCAGGCTTCGAGGGCGCGGATGACGGACTCGGCATCCCCGAGGGCCGTGTGCGCAGCCTTGAGGGTGATCTTGCCGGGGATGCCGCACAGAGCAGCGGGCGCGTCGCACAGGCACAGCTCCGCGGCGGAGCAGCCCAGCAGCGCCGGCAGGCCGCAGGCCACCGCCGGCACGTCGCAGAGGCAGGTGCGCAGGGCCTTGCACGCGAGCTTGGTCGACAGGTAGCACGCGCCCGCCGGCACCCCGCATGCGCAGAACGCCATGGCTTTACAAACCTGAGGGAGAGAGAAAAAAAAAATCAAGATAGTGTTAGAAAGAATAATGCTGTGTTCTAAAAGGACGGTCTTCCACGTTTTGAAAAGTTAATTGAATTTTAAAGTTTTCAAAAAAAAAAAAAAAAAAAAGATTAAAAAAAATTAAAATGCTGGCGTTTTAGGTAATCTAGAAAGTAGGTAATATATCAAGTAGGCAAGGAGCGTGAATGACAAGTGTTAAGGAAGTAGAGTCTTGTTGAGTACTGTAAATCAGGGCCGAATCCAATTTCTTTACTATTACATATAAATAGTAAAAAAAAACTACACTTCTTTAGCTACGGTGTCTATAAAGATAGGAAGTCTTAATTTTCCATCCTTTTAAGGTTTATAAATCTGAGTTCTTTTTACAACTCTAGTGTTGCACTAATTTGAGAAAAAAATGCGTTGAATAAACTAAAGTTTTATACCGCCTTTCAAGTCTTTCCGCAGACGCAGAAAATATTCCATAGTAATCTGGAAATTTTAAAATATACGTTATAATGACTCTTTATCGACTTGGAAAAAACATTTCTACGTATGTCCGTGTATTATCCTGAACTGTACTTCGATAGCTGAGAGAGGTCTCGTAACCTTAATGATGTCGCAGGCTTCCGCGGCTGGTTTATGTAGAGGTGGGCCACGTGATGTAAACCAGAGCGCCCAACATCTTTGCGCAGTACAGCCCTGAAAAGGACCGCGATATGTCTGTCGAAACGTCGGCTCCTCCGCCATCGACGCGGCGTCACCCGGACAGCCCAGATCATGTGTCGAAACCTAGATCCCAAAACGGTCTCCGAAACCCTGCCCGTCCGTACCTTCGCGGGCGCGGCGGTGAGGCAGGGGAACGCTCGTTCGGCGAGGTCGAGGCCCTTGCACAGCAGCAGGTCGGCCACGTCGACGGGCGTGGCGAAGGCGCGGCGCAGCGGGCGCGCCAGGGCCAGGGCCGGCGCCGACGCCAGCAGCGCGCCCGACTCCCCGGCCAGCAGCACGAGGCCCAGCACAGAGTCCGACTCGCGCGCGGTCGCGTACGCGCGCGCCAGCGCCCGCACGGGCGGCAGGGCGCACACGCGCCGCGGGAAGGCCAGCGGTGCCGGGCAGTCGCACGCACCCGCGCACTCGCACGGCCGCGTCGCTTGCGACCCGACCGGCCGCCGGGGCGGCGCCTGCGGCCGGGGAGGCGGCGTCGGGGTCGAGGACGACTTGGTGGCGTAAGCCGGGTATTTGTCGTTGTCCGTGGTGGAGCTGGACGGGGTGGAAGGCGCCTGGAAGCTGTCCGTCGACATTTTGATTCTGAAAAGAAAACATTTAAGGATATTGAAAGATCCAGCTCTTTGATAGGGGTGCACAAGATTACAAGTGAAAACTGCTACAATAAAGCGAAAATTCATCTAACCCCAAATTCGAACATTAGAACGCAGTGCAGGAAAAACTGAACAGGATTTACCTTCTGCAAGGCTGCAAGTTTTTGGTTTTACTATTCGCTACGTTTTTACTAGTTAGATGTAAATATAAACTAATTCTGCAATAAAGTATTTATATTCAAAAAGTTTTAAACCATAAAACAAAGGGGCCGAATTTCGAAGTAAAATAATGGAACGGTTTAACAAATAAGGTGTACGAAGTGTTAAAATTATACCTTCATTTTTACGAATTTGTGAATTTCATGCCTTAATAACTCTCCCCCATCTTAATCACTGCAAGAAATATTGATCGAAAATTAATTTAGAACTTTTACTACTTACCGAAGCTGCAACCGAGTTCCGTACTCCAGTCAATCGTTACCTCGCACACAGCAACTTTACGCCACTCGCATCCCTCATTTATACTTCAGCGATCGCTGGCCAGCCTTTGTAGACTCGACGCTTTAGCTGCTCGCCAGCCAATGTAGTTGAGTGACGTCATGTTTACGGTCTGGGTTTGTCGTTTCGTAAGCTATTGTATTGTTGGGTATTGTCATGCAAAAAGCTGTGCAACTGTGAAGATATGGTGATTTGCTCACAATCATTCAACTTGTTTTGAATGGCGGATACATATTATTGATATCTGATGAAATTACTGCATTCGCTTTTTAATTTTTATCGCATTTTCCTGTGGCGAAATCAAATATATCAAAATTTTATAAATTCTAAAGTTTATTTTAATGGAGTAAAACTTTTGAAAAATTTCTTCCGTGAACGAAATCTATTAATTGTTATAAATTTTAATTGCTCTCTATAGGATTAATTATTAAAACATCAAAAAGTGAGTGTTATTTAGATTGTTTAATTTAATCTTGACAATATATTTAAATATTATTTTTATTAACAAAGTTATTTTGAGATAGGCAATTTATTAAATTAATCATATATTTGTATATTAAATTGTGTAGCAGATAATGGTGCTTAAAAATAATTTATTTATAATGTTTCATTTAAACTCTAAAATATAATTTAGATCACCCGTTTTTACAGTTATTTATAGTTTACTCTCAGCGGTTTTTTGAAAATGTTTTTAAAGAAAATAAATATTTTGTTAGCTTTTAATCAGACGATATCATAACGCAAATTAAATAAATTTTTTAATTTTTACTTATGACAAAATGATATGTTAAATTTTATTCATTTATATAATTATTTGAAAAACAAATTACATTTTCTGTCAATGAATGTTTACAGCTAAAATATTACACTGGGTAATTGTCCGAACATTTAGGAAAATGTTGTTGTAAATATTGTTGACTTATATTCTGAATGCTTAGCCTTGTTCAGTTTGTTGCTATGAAATATGATAAATAATTTTATTATTAATAAAACAATAACATATCATACAATTTGATAGCATGTTCATGTAAAGGGGAGAATAGTCATTTAAATCAATATTTATTCAAATAATGTGATTTATATCTTAATTTTTACATTGTCACTTTGCCACCATACGTGACATTTGCAGAGTAAAGGAAAACAATCGTTTTTTTATCAGGGACATTGATGTTTGAACATATGATTACACGGAGAGTAGTCTAGTTAGAATTTATATCCTATGCTCTGTCTTCTGTTTTCTTGCTGATATACCCACTCACTTATGATCTTTTATTGTCATGTCCATAGTCGAGAGGTTTAACAAAATGTTTGTTTTGTAATTGTAACTATTATGGCTCGTAACTCTAGGAATCACTTAATTGAACCTTTGGAGTTTTTAGTAGATTTTCATTTTGACGTTTTTTTGTCCATTGTACTTTCTGATGCCTATTTTGACATTTTGTTTTACTTGTGCTTTTTTCTGCCTTTTACGTCAATATTATGCATTTTTTTCTACTGTCACCGATTTCCGTCAAACTGGATATGTATGTCTACAAGGCTGAACAACAAAACGACACGGTCATGTTTTGTCCTCTGTAAAAGCAAGTGTTAGAAATTTGAAAAAAGGAAGTTTAGATTTAAGTTAAGATTTGAGTATTTTTTCATTGGCGCCGACAAAACTTGTTCGTTCATTGGGAATCGCATCCTACTTTTCAGTTTGACCTCTGATCCCTTTTGAGAACAGCTCATCGTGCATGATATCACTTTCTCACTGCTGGCAATAACACCAGTGGGAAGTACACACAAAAAAAATATAGTGCCATTTCAAGATTCAAAATGAGTCCGTAATAGCGTTTTCAAGATCGCGTGAGAAACAAAATCGTAATTCTAACGAATGGTTTTGTAGAAGGAAGGTTATAAAGAAAATATCGTTTCCTTGCACGTTTAATGAAAAATATTTTACAGCTAGAATAAAATCGTGAATAATTTTACCTATTATTTTCACAATTCCTTTTGAAAGTGATTTTTCATAGTTTACATGTATCTTTGCACCCCCTAGAATGAATGTCATTTGTGTGCCTATTTTAGTAAAGTTTCTTTTGCATACCCATTTTAGATTAAAATGCCCGAACGTCCGGGCTCGAGTTAAGACTACCAAAAAGGCGTAAAAGTAAAATCACAAATAGAAATGCTCTTATTGTATGTAACGTTTTACAAATATGTTCAGTAAATGGATCTAAGGTATAATTTACTACTTCAGTACTAATTTTCTGGTTTTTGAAACAGATTTACATTTCATATAATCCGATTCCAAATATATTTGTATTACGGGCTACAAAGTGCACAATACATTTCATGTTTAGTGATAATTTTATAATCATCAGATTTTTGCATATTAAAGTTTGAAAATCAAATCTTGTAATATTTGACTCGACAATATCAGAAATTGAAGATTCGCATCTTTCGTAAAAACGTAGTTTTCGCAGATGGCGTAAGGAAGTTTTGTCGAATATGATCAAGCATTATTTTATAAAACTTATTGAATGCAAGTGAAATGGAGGATTCCAACTCAGATGGGAGGGGGGGCGGGCAAAGGAAATTAGGTGGAGGAAGTGAAGATAGGAAGCACGTATAACCAAAAATCACAGAGCGTATGGAATTAAAAAATAGTTTTTAATATAGAGTGTAAAGAAACCAAGTACAAGAACTACATAAAATTTGTTTTACGATATTTTAAATATCTACGCAAAAGATAAACAATGAACCATATAACATTGAGCAGAAAAAGTCACGATTTTAATTTACACTGTTTAAAACTTTTTGTTCAACGGCATATTTAGTATTCAGAGCGTCAATCGTGTTTACGATGGCTTCATAGAAGCGACGCATCGATTTAGAAGGCACGTCGCACAGCGTAAGCAGCAAATGGAGCACCTTGTCATCTGGAACAAGAGCGTTAAGTCGACACGATGAAAGTATAGAGTACTTTAAGGATAAGCGTCAGCATCTTCGTACTACCTTCCAGTTCCAGCGGCGGATTGCTCGGAACCACCATACCGGCAGCACCATGGAGCTTGTTACATACTGCACTCAAACAGCACATTATGCGTCTTCCTTGCTCTGATGACAACAGATTGTGCAAGAAACGCCATGACTTCGCGGGGACCGCCTGAACCGTATCCTTGGGATGTCTTACTACACTACGCAGAACTCCGCAGACGTAGACGCTATTGAAGTAACATCCCTGAAAAAAAAAAAAAATAAAGTTACAAAACAATCACGGGAAAGAGTTGAAAATAAAATTTTGTCTTATTACCTGAATACTACGAACAAGTAAACAAGGTTTCCAGTCATCATCATAGTCTTCGCTGAACAACAGTCGTCTTTGGCGACATGGGCAATCGTCATTACACGGAGGATGGTACAAACCATTATCTTCCATTTCCATAGCACGAGCCATAATACAGAAAATCTGAAATCTTAAACCAAGCGCGTTCCAAACTCCACACACAAAACTCGCAGAGACTTTCAACGAATATAAACTACTTACCCAATACGGTTCACGCGCCCTGTCGCAGACTGATGGTGAGTCGGCACGGAGCCTGATATAAAAGAGTAGAGCAAGGGAATAAACTCGCTTCGTGAAACCTCGAGAGCCAATCGCGGCTCTTGGTCACGTCACACTCGTTTCTCGCTACAGGGACCGGCAGTAGTGCGCCATCTCTTATCAGCCAACGCTCTCTTGTCACCTAAAGAACGGAGAATAGGGAACAATATCTGCAGATCAATTGAGAGTTTAATTATGGAAAAAGTCAAAAGTCAGTTTGTTGAAATGTAATTTTTCCCAATAGTTGTGTTCGAAAAGAGGGACGTCTTGTACTTTCCATTTATTAGCAGTGAGTTAAATAATTACTTATATTTTCGGTAAATAATTTAGTAATTGCATTGCATGGAAAATATTTGTATATTTGTCCCCATACTTCGTCGTCGAATACAAAATTTGTTCATCAGTTGTGTGAATGAACTATTTTTTATGCAAATACATAATGTACTGTGTAGTTGCCTAGTAGAATATAGTATTGATAGTAAAGTTCTGCTAGAGTTGCATTAGGCATTTAGACTAATGTATGTATATGTATGTATGTGTATGTATATGTATTTATATGTATGTATATGAATGTGTATGTATGTGTATGTATGTGTATGTATATGTATGTATATGTATGTATATGTATGTATATGTATGTATATGCAGTGAAACAAAATTTTTAAAAAATATAATAATCACTGAGAAGTTCAAATGAAAGGATCATGGTCAAAGAAAATTTGCAAAGCTTTCATCTTATATTTTAAAACTTTTGCACTACGGCAAATGAAGTTGTCCAGTGATTTTTGTGAAAGAATACGTGTTTTTTTATTGGAAATAAATATGTGAGAGTATTGCGTTATTGAGTTAAGTCGTTTACCATTTTTTTAGACTGAGTTGTTACATAATAGTACATTGTGAAGTTAGTTTCTCATTCCGAGGGGATTTTAATAGTAGTAAAGGGTTTAGATCTTTTGAATTTTTATTGAGTCCCAAATTTTGGAGTTAAAAAATCGATAGTGTAAGCTTATTGAATAAATAACAGCATGCTGATTAAAAAATAATGTTCATGTGAAATTAATGATATAACAATTAAGCCTGAATACATGAAAATAACTTTGCATTATGACATATTGCGTGAGTGAGAATTTGCGAGCAAGCAATATAGTACTACATATAGATGATCGAGTTTGCAAAATTTTAGTTATGCAATGAAGTATTGTTCTAGGCGAGTTACGTTCCCAATTTTGTAAAAGTACCATTGTATATCGATTAACTTAATTTTGTAGTGCAATTAGAAGTCTATTCTCAACTGCAACGTTGTGTTAGACAACTCACACATGTACGTGTGTATTTACTTACGCTGATAACTATGAATAGCTTTTTTCAACTATCGATATAATTGCAGTGTTGACCATTAATTACCGACTACCCATATGCGAAATAAAAATGAAGAAACACGCATATTTTTAAAAATCGGATGCAAAGTGAAAATGTGCATTTGCACCTGCGTATCTGTAATAGTATATTGCTTAATCATGATAATTTGCTGAATAAATCGATTTAACACCAAAAAAATAATTCTCAACTAATTTTGAGGAACAGACTATGTGCTATGTTTTCACCAACACAATTTTTTGGTGAGAATTATATTAAAAAATTTAATCAAAAGATTATGAATTAATGATACGGGAGTACTATTTCTTTCGTTATAGAAACTCAATTGTAAACACAATATATACCTACACTTTCGGTATTCGACATGGCAAAATCGAAATGTAGTGTTGCCCATTCTGTTGTGTTTTTGTTGTAATATAAGTAAGAGAGAAAATATTTCCTCTCTAATTAGACAATGTTTCATGTAGACTCCTTATTTGGTAATATAGAAATCGACTTTTATTCTCTTTTTTTTCAGTCCTTTGACTAACATTTTGTTTGGAAATTGTTACAATCTAATACAATTTTTAAGTAGAATAATTGTGCAAACTTTAAATGTATGAATATAATTACTACCTATTAATATCAATGTAATCATGAAATGGTTTCTTTAATAATATAAAATTATAATTAATAAAATACAACTATTAAAACATTCTGTAGTAAAAATCACTTTCCTTCAAGCCATTATACTTGACATTTTCATTTTTTACATTTAAACATGTTTCAAAAGTGAATATGATATCTTCAAAGTGATTGTAGGTCCAGGTGTGATGAAGGTCAAATTCCCCACTAAAAATGTTAATTTATACGTGAAACAATAACCACGCGAGGAATATATTTTGAGTAACTTATTAGTTAACAGACTTTTGTTATGGTACTATTTGATGGAGAGAGATACTGGAATAGATTTCGGAATAAGTGATTTTGATTTGCACAAAAAAATGAGCAAGTATAGATGCAGGATATCTCGCATTGTAATAAGTGATTATTTTTCATTTAAGAGTACAGTTCTTTAAATTATGTTGCTTTTAAATTAAGTAATAAAGGTTTTTATTAAAATAATTAAAAATGTCTGCGTGCAGTCGTCGGTAAAGTACTTTTAAGAGGGATTAATATTTCATTCAGATTTTTTGCATTATTCTACTGAGCTTAATCAAGGTGAATTGTTCTGTTGACGACGGATTAATTAATTCCGTTGACGATGTATTAATAGGCTAAAATATTTTGTATGCTAAAATAATTTTGTAATATACTCTCAGTAAAATGTGTACGTCGTTTCATTTGTGCCTTAATCATGTACATATTCCGTTTATCACTAAAGCGTTCAAAAGGTCTCAAAGATAAGACTGATTTACAAAATCTGGCAGAACTGATATCTTCTAGTGATGAACCTTTCCCTAAATAAATTACATAAAGGGTTTTATGAAAACTACATTTTTATAATTTTTCCAACATTCATTTTTGAATTTTTTTCAAACAAAAGTTGATTTCTTGCAACCCATAAATATTGTAAAAAAATGTACAAACTGTTGTAAACGAAAAAAATAGAATACATATATAAAATACACAATTCACACTTATTTTCTTTTGAAATTATTACCGTATTAATGTATAGTGTGCACTGTAATATTTTTCTCATTTTAAATTATCCCTTTATTGCTTTCTAACAAATTTATAATGACGATCAATTTTTCTGGGTTGTCTAAGCAATTATTTATATTCTCAAGAAATTCACATCTCTCACTTTGGTAATTATGGTGGAAAGGATGGAAATAATGATTACATTAGGTTATAATGATTATTTTAGGCATTTTTTGGTGTCCTTGACACAACGTTGGCAAATTAATGTGGAGTTGCTAATTATTAGACTTGTGAAGGTGCTTTAGGATTTTTATTAGAATTAGATTTTAAATAAAACGTTTACTGTATTGTTAAACAGTTGAACATGCGGGTGAGGAACAACTTTGGGATAAACAATAGTCATGATGTTTTTAAATGAAGTGTAACAGTTGGATCATGAAAAGGAAACGTTTCTCGGAGTTTCCAAAATATTTCTCAACCTCGCAGGTCATCTACAAATAGGAATATTTCATAATGTGCCTGTCATTAGATTATTCCTCAATATGATTACTCTTTGATTCTTTTCAAAAGTGTGCACAGTATTTCATATCTTGATTACTGGAGAGAAATTTAGAGTGTAGAGAAATTAACTACTAGATAAACATACATTGCAAAGTAGTTTCAGGGTTCAAAGGTTATGGAAAAACAGAAATCAATGCATGAATTAAATTGTGTTTGTATTCACTTCATTTATTTTTAAAGAAATTCTAGTAAACTGTATGTCATGACGTTAAGAGATGCATAGTAAATACTTGACATTAAGTTCTGATTCTAAATATTGTTTACCGTAATTCTCGTGTATACAGTTTTTCTTTGTTATGTGGACAATGTTTCAGAAGTTTAGTTATCAGTATTCTCAAAGATTAATGAGCATTCGAATTTCGATGAAAATTCATTCACGTAGAAGTGATGGGAAAGTAATGGTTAAAGAAAATCTTGAAAAAAGATTTAATTGGACTTCAACTATAACAAACTGAAAAAACGACAATTCCATGAGCTATTAGTGACTAAAAGATAAAATCACTTTGGGCGATTAGAAATATTAACCGTGTATTTATACTGCTAAATTATTGTGAAACCCTTTAGAATTTTCTCTCTGGCAATCTTTTAAATAAAAAACTGAATGTTTTGAGTTTGTTACTAAGAGTCAGCACAATTGCGTTTAATTGGAAGTAAAAAAGTGATGTAATGGAGCTTGAGAAAGGTAAGATAGTTCGACTTTACGAGAAGACAACTCAAGTCACAAAACTATTTTACATATAATCAAAACACTAACATTTTACAATGTAATTGTTTATTCAAACGAAGCAATATCAATTCTTAAATCATTTCCTTACAACTAACGATAGATTTTATGTTAAGCAACGTCATCTTAGGATTGTGGATACACTTTCGCAAGAGGGGAACAAAGTCAGTGGACAAGAACAGAAGCAGCCGGTGACGCCCGTTGCAAGAAGGTTAAAGGTACATTACGTTTTTAGTAGAATAACATTTGTAATTAAATATTTAATGAAATTTCAAACAGAATATCCTGCGGGCAAGAAATCACCTTGGGATACATGGTAATGAATTTCGGAATGCGTCGTGTTTTAACGTTTTGTAGAACTTCCAAGATACGTCATGCCTCAACCTTGTTAGACAGCTAAAATGAGAATTCGTTGCACTCAATAGAGAAGTCTATAATAAAGAAGTCTAAAAATATTATACAAGTCCATAATATTATAGAAAATAATTCAAAAGTCAAATTCTGAGTAGGCATTCCAATGTCTCTAGAAAAAAAATATATTATGAAGCCGGCATATGAATATAGTACAGTTCGCATTTAAAAATTAAACGCCAGAGCCTAAATATTTACCGTCAACTTCTCGTACAAGTTTTTGTTTGCTGATGGACAATGTTTAAGAAATTTCTAGTTATTAGTAATAAAACTTGCCTCAGACTTTGTACTTTAAAGCACGAGTTGTGAATTTTTCAAACCACTGAGGAAAGACATTGTACTATAAATTGAATTAGCAAATGATGCCAAGATCATAACTTCAAGAAATTTTTTATTAAAAACTTAAAATAATCATACATATGCGATATTCTAAGAACCTTTTGAACAAACTATCAATTTGTATTTTTAAACAAGGCAACACTAATATCAACAGTAATACAGAGGGCAATTCCCGAAACAAAGTAGAAGATTCGATGTTAAACAACGTCATCTGTAGAGTTTTGATAAATTTTCGAAACTGCAGAGCAAACAGCTCGCGGACAACAGCACAAACAGCCAGCGACACACGACCTAGTAGTCGCGTACATCTGGAAAAGAAAACTCCATTAGAATACAAGATCTTGTAGTAGCCAGGAATTAGTACCAAAAAGTAAGCATACCTGGTTAGGATAGACCTTAACGCAAGGGAAGGCAGCCTCGACAACGTCCAAACCGAGGCACAATGTCGCATCCACGCAGCGGACGGGCAGGTTGCAGACTGAGGCTAACGCGGAGGCCATGTACATAGCCGGCGCTAGCGTTATTTTCGCTGTAGTTTCGGCCAAGTATACAGACCAACCAGTCAAGGTGTTGGTCTTTAACAGATCGTACACGTTGACTGTGCACTTCATTATTGGTAGTTGAACAACTCTCTCCACGATCTTCAACTTCCCACTTTTACCATTCGTGTCCGATATGGTAAACTGTCCATTTTCGGCGTCTCCTTGTTTATCGAGTTTCTTGTCCTTTTCGTGATCCTTCTCTTGCCCAGAGCCGAGACACGTGTTGATAGGCAAGTGTGAGGCAGGAAGTACATTACCATCGGTGTTTGCTGTTGGTGGAGGTCCCGCAGCTTCAGGGACGCGAGCCTCTTCGGGATCAGGTTCGGGAAAGGGACCAGGAGCGGGAGCGGGCAGTGGCGGGGAAACTGGAGGGGGAGACGGTGTGTTGAAAGAGGGGGAAGAGGTGGATGTATCATCCTGGGCTTCATCAGCCACCTTCGGGGAGTAATTATGTTCAACGTTCGGCATCGCAAATCTGAAACAGGATATACAGTATTACACAGTTAATAATATTATAAGTCAATTACACTACACCATTTTAAAACGCCAACTTTAAAACTCTGTTTCTGCGGATACGCACAACGTTATACAATGTAAGAATTGTGAAGTGCACTCGATAACAACCACCACTGGACTGCCGCGATCTCTTTAAATACGGTGTTTCGCTAGGTGGCAGTCGAAGACTCGCCTCGTAACGTCAGATTTCGACGAATAGGAGAGCTTTCGTGAGATATTTCGCACTAGTTTTCCCTTTTCGTTAGTTGAAGACTACCTTGTTATGATTTAATTTGATAATTCAGTATGATATTGTTATATGTACGATTAAAAATTAAGAAAGAAAGTTTTGTACATCGAGATTTAAGAGAAAAGAGCCATTATTTTTTAATACCGCAATAAACATAATTAGAACATTAGTACAAAGAACCGTTTGTGTGAAGTTATCTGTTTTTTCACATTAATAAAATATATTTAAAAAATCATATTTTTCATTCGGTTTCGTTTCTGATGATTCTGGCTATTTAATGTGGACCTCTGAAATGAACATTACTGATTCAATTTACAAAGAATGACTATTTACTAGATTAAATATTGTTTTTAGTATTACGAATGTGCAATATACTCTGTGTACTAGTGTTTAAGAAGTTGTCTTTAGATATTTGTACACTTGTTTATCACAATTCTACAACTTCTTGCTGAATTTTTGTTTTGTACAAGTTATGTGATAATGTACGTACTAAAAATAATAACTTGATTTTATGTTGTTGAAATATACTTATCATGTTTAAAGACTGTTTACAATTAAATTGTAATGCTACTTCCGTTTTGCAATTCTTTTACATACCTTTTGAGAAAAAAATAAGAAATCCCTTCAATTTCATTTTATTGAAGGTCGTTGGATGACAAGCACCGCCAAAAACAGCAAGGCTATATTTATTCGTAATGTAGATTTAGGTTAAATTGTGTCTCATCTTCGTATTGCCAAAATATCTAAATATCACGCCGTATTACATTGGAACATAAGCCATATTTTCACCAAAATCGAGATATTAACATCTAGGGAAAGCGGGAGTCTTGGTGTGATGGATGGGATTTGGCTCGCTACTGCTGTAAGATCTTCACTTGTAAATACTCATGTGTTCTAACACATTCATATATTTTGTATTATTGTACTACATTATGAATGATAGTGCAGATGTTCATTTGATAGGAAAATTAATATTTTTACTTTCTACAGAAATTATTGACTTCCCGTTCAAATAATTTATTTTTCAGATCATTTAATGTTTTCTAACTTTTCTTACTATAACTTTGAAATATGATATACATAATATAACGAATAGGAGACATGTGTTAAAGTATTGTATTTTATTTAATATTTTAACTAATTATTTGAATTTGATTCTAAATTTTGAAGAATGTTTTGTAAATACATTTCAAAAGTTGTTCATTAGTATTGAATTATTAAGTAGGATGCATTTTGGATAAAGACGAATTCGTATGTGCGGTGAATATGTAGCCAAAGATTAGGGATATATTCGGGAAACACATGAGAGTTCTGGAGAGACGTTGTGAGGAAAGATGTAAGGAGTCATTGTGCCACATGTGTTGGCAATCGAGGAAACGGTGGAACAAGCTGGTCATATGCAGGAAGCGTGCATGAAATATGCATGAAATATGAGGCACTTACGGAGAACCTAAGGAGAATATGCAGGAGAACTCAGGAGTGTGTTCCTGGGACGTTTGTGGTCCTAGTAGTATTTCTTAAGACATTATTCAAAATCAGTTTTTTTACATTCTGGTACCAGTATATTATACGAGATTCTCTTATCTCGTCTTCCATTTGTGTGTTCTCGTCCCTTAAAACCTTGAGAATTTTGTTAGATTGATACGCGATTTCTAGGAAACGTTGAGGTACTTGTTTTGTTCTCAGGAGAAAAGTTTTCAATTCAAAAAGGTTTCGGGTATCAGGGATTTGCAAATTATGATTTTCTGTCAAATTATGCAATTTTCAAATTAGGATTTTCTTTAAAATCAATGCAATTTGCAGAACATAACTTTATATTTCGAAGGGAAAGTGTATGAGATAACAAAAACAGACGGTTTCACTTTTATCTTTCAGATTTTTGTTTTACCTTTTGTAGTATGAAAGCATTTCTGTTTTATGTCTTTTCACTTTCCCGTGGTCATACACCCTTCCCCATCCCTCCTACTTCTTGCAGACGGGTCCCACTAGTCTCTTCATTCTTTGTGCTGATGTGGTTCGTGAGCACTTATCCATCGTTATTCATACTAACCTTACAAAGGACAAGCACAGCTCTCTGCTCTATTGATAGTATTTCAAACAGTAAGTAAGGTCGTAATGCTTCACAATGTTTGAATGTCTTTTATTGCACCCCTTGGTGCAGTAATGGCGTTGCTAAGTTTCTCACCATTTTTCTCTTTTTAAAATTAAACGAAGTAATTGTTCTTTACACCTGAAGGGTTTTTTTATTATAGATACAATTTGATCAACGTATTTTGCAAGTAATTTGGTGTGCGATTTGGCGAATGTTGCTTGTAAGGCTGCTTAGCTACAACCTAGCTGACCAAACGTAGAATTTCAAATAAGCTAGAGAGGAGATGTGTTAGTTTTTTTTGTAGGATAGTTTCAGAATATCTACTTTTTCTGAAAATTCAAAAGAAAATTTACGTAATGTAATAATTATGTAGTAATTGTGAACAAGCTCCAAGACCATATAACGATATTTAAGTCCAACAATTTTATCTTTACACTGTATTGGTAGGGAAAAATATCTTCTTAAAAATTTCATATCGAAATTTGGCCTCCAATCGGATGTAGAGGGACACGCATTTGTGGAATTTTAGCAAAAGTTTTTCCATTTATTTTAAATAGCATTGTGATTAAGTTTCTTTGTGAAGCAATGAAAATTAGGAGTACAATCAAACGTTTTTATTTTATTTAATTAATTTACAACACTACTGCATGCGAGGAAAAATTAAGAGTTTCTCATGCAATCCAAACATGCGTACAATTAAAACCTTATTAAAACGAAACACAAAGGACTCCAAATAAAAACAAGACAACATGAACATCACAAAGTATAAAAAATAAACATTACACAATTTAAATTAAGTTAACAAAATCTTGAGGCAATTGCCACTATATCTTTTTTTGTGTCATGTGGCATTACAAAGTCCACGTATCCGTTCAGAATCAGACTCATTCTGTCAGCTCTAATGACAACAGCTTGACCAAAAGGTGTTGACAGAAGATGAGCTAGTGCCATTTAACCAAACTCGAGAATATATTCATAGCGTTCTTTTGTCCATGTACTGCTGCTCTTTCCACATTGGCCCATCTAGAAAATACAAAAGTATGTATATTTTGCAGGTGTATACACACAATACAACAGTAACTTTACATTTATTTCAAATCAAGTTTATAAATAAAGCACAAATGTATTTTAAACCACAGATGTAAACAGAGTTCTGAATCTTAAAAAAAAAGTTATACCTTTCTTCTTAAAAAGTTAGATGCCGTAATCAAAAAAATGAGGCCATATTTGGCTTCCATTATATTTTTAAGGGGACGCCTTCTTCGTGGCAAGGGTTTTCATAAATGTTCTATGTCGACTTACAATACGCAGTTATTTTTACTTTAAAATAAAGCTATTTTGGAAGTGCGGTACATAGTCAAACTTCAAACTATTATTATTTCATATGTAATGTGCCTTTTTAAACAAAACCACGTCAACAGTGATTGATACTTCAGTGGATACACTATTTTACCGACTTCAATGATGACAACTACAAAACGTATTGTTCAAACCTCTTGTTTTGTTGATTATCAAAGTACAAATAAAAGTTACGCAAAACATTCACACTTAGGAAGGTCGCAAAAGAAAACGCGCCAGCCCCCCCCCCCCGAGTTCACGCGGGAGCTGGGAACCTTGCTTTCAGTAATAGTGATTATTGCTAGCCAGCATATACTTATATAGCCAGAATATACGTATATAGCAACTATATACTTCAGACGCAAAATGGTGAACCTCTTGTGCCCTTTGACTCTCTTGGGCGCCCACTCGCATGCGAGAAATGTTCACGTAGGTTTACTGCTTTTTACCATTTTTGGTAATACTGTACCGTTGTGTACTTTGTAGAACCGAATAAAAAACCGAAAAGCCAATTAATGCCGGAGTCTCTGGTGTATTTTAACAGTGAGCAAATGCGTTAAGAATAGATTAGAAACAAATGAGGCGTTAGTAAAAAAATTAATGAGTATTTTTATTGAAAGAAATATTTTGATTTACCATTTTTCCCTAAAAAACACATTAGAAAAGGTCCTGTCGATATCAAACTTTTATTTTTTGTACATCGTTCTTAATGACATTAATGGCGTCCTGCGTCGGCAAAAAAAAAATGTTGGGTTACAAAAACCACACAAAATTGTTTTCCAAAAGGAGCATGTACATTGCTGAATAACAAATGAAACCGTTTTAGAATCCTGTAATAAAACTAAATATTAAAGTCTCCAGTAGCAGTGTTCTACACTATGAAATAATTCTTTACATTCTAATAACAAGAAAAGATGTAGTTCCGTAACGCAACATTAAAAAGTAAATAATAAATCGGGACTTCCTTTCCTTTAGAGCCTTGCTGTCACTATACGTCAACTGTGATGCAAGCAGTGATGCTTCGAGTACGAGAATTCATCAAGGGTAGGCAGTTCGAGAAAATGCAGAATAACAATCAAATATTTGCATTTGTAATGAAAATAAAATATGCTTAACAGTTTTTCTTTTTCCACCGAGTGCCTTGGTATATAAAGAAATCTGACCCCTCTCAAGTGGCCAGCCGCCAAATTTTTTTTCCTCAATTTCTGCGAGCTTACGAGAGCAACGCGCAATATAAATAAAAATCTATATTACCGAACCAGCAGTGTGCCTCCTAATGATTTCCCTACCGAGGAGCCTAAAGAACGATTTTCTTCATAATGGGATAAAGTGACAGTTTGCGAGTACTTCAGAGAAGTAAACACTTGCACCGTCACGATTACGCTTCTGGTATTCAAGACTGTTTTAAAACAAACAATACTTATCACATAAAAACTTAATTCAATGTAATTTTTATAAAAAGAAAGATTTTTTACACAAGAGCACAAAGCGCTGCACTTCCTAATTTCAATTATTTCTCGTGGTGCACTATATTTTCGTCGGACGAGGACATCACAGCCAGGGAGCGTCGTAACTATTTACAAGCTAGCCAACTGCAAACGAACGAATAAAGGAAGTGGAGTCTAATCAGTTCAAGGGCACAACGACCACAGAATCGTCAGTTGTGTTGCCAGCACTAGCTGTCAAATCATCCCATTCTAAAGAAAATCTGACAATACCTGCGCCGACTGGCCCGTGGCGGAGAGCATCAGGGTCTCAAGGGCGCCAATCGCGTGGCCGATGGCTGCATCGCAGGAGGGCGGGGCGGGGCAACGGGCGAGCGCGCTTCCCGGGGTTTCGGCTGCCCGTGCACACGCCCCCGCCCCCGCCAGCGGAGAGCGCGTGCGGTGCGTGCGTCGCGCACGCGAAACCTCCGGCTCCTCCGAATCCTGGCGGGAACGATTAGTAGAATGCTGAAGAGTTAGCGGCGCGGCACACGAGCGTTGCGTTGACGCGCGGGAAGTAACGCTCGTCGGAGAATAACACCATCTTATGCGATACACTACACGGGAGCTTTGGCCGTTCCTAATAAGATAGTGTCATTAAATACGGAAAATAAAAGATGCCTGATGCCAAACAATATATTTTGCTGAAGATAGTTTCGATCGCGTAGCGATCCTCAGAGCTCGCAGCTTCCGGGCCGAAAACAAAGTTCTGCCTTCGATGTTTGATCTTCAGCAAAGTAATTTTTTTTATATTAGGCATCGTTTATTTTCCGTATTTAATGGCACTATCTTATGTGGAACGGCAAAGATCTCTTGTAGTGATCAGACAACATCTTTAATTTACCGTATTTAATTATTAGAAGGTATCGACCTCACAAGCGATCTAATTAAAGATAGTGTCAATCTAAGACTCGCGTTACTAAGTGCGCGTCAACAACGCTCATGTAACACCTGTCTTAATAGTGGAATACCATTGCCGTTCTGGGGCTCTGAGAACAGCAATGGGAAGGGGGAGACAAGTGTGAACTGTAGAATAAATTCCAATTTAGCTCACCGACAGTTAGTGTTATATTAGAATGAAATTAACTCACTCATACAATTTTACTTATAAAATGTAATTAAAAAGTTTTTGTAATGATTACGTTCAAGGGTTGATATATTTTGTACGAATAGCAAAAATTTTAGTAAATATATACGACGGATTTTTAAGAGAAAATGCCAAAAATATTTCAAAGTCATGGGATTATTTTATTAAACTTTCTCCTGAATGAATCCTAAGGTCATCATTTTTTTCCAATATATAATGCCGCTGTGAATGAATACTTTCGCGGAAACAATTAAAAAATATCAAATATAACTTTGCATTTACTACTGTTGAAGTAAAAATTAAGTAAAAATTCCGCAAAAAGAGAGTATCGTAGCATTTTAGACAATCTTTATACGAAGCACTGGTATGCCCCCTCACGAAATCAATTTGAGATAAACTTGAGACAACTTGATTATACGAGGAGATGTTCAACCAAAAGACAGGATCGAATGTGACCTGAAGAAATTTGAACAAAAAGAATGGGAATTTCCAATTCAATAACCGAAACTTGAAAATGGAGTCCTCCAGTGCTACGGTTGTGAATGCCACATTCCAGATCGAAAATGAACTCCGAAAACTACATACAGAGTAGGGCAAAAAAAAGTAGTTTACTTGAATAAAGTTGTAAATCGTTCGTAAAGTCATAAATAAGAACCAAAATTTTAAAAATAGTGATCGAAAAACAACAACAAAAAACATAATGAAAACAAAAAAGAACGCCGCAAACCTGAGTAGGTAAAAGCCGAAGAAGAATATTGCTGGCGTTCTCTTACACTGCGTCGGTCGTTGGCGTCCGCTCCGCGGCGAGCTCTGCCGGGGGCGTCGGCGAACACCAGCGCGCGCGGCGTGAAGGGCGACGTCTCGGGCAGCGCCGCCGCCGCCGTCGCCGAGGCGCTCGACGCGCTCGAGGCCGCGGAGGCGACGGACGCGGCAATGGCCGCCATCTGGGCCGCCGTCGGGGTGGTCTGCGCGTTGTTCTCGGCGCTCTCCTCCGCCGTCGCTGCCGCCGTACCGCTTGGCGCGTTCGGGCCGGGGGACAGTTTATCCACCGCCTGTCGACAAACAATTCAGATACTCTTGTCGATTCACTACAAGCTACTCCATCTCGTCGTTGCCGGAAGACTACCACATTTTACATAATAGTCAGTATAACAGTTTTAAAAAATCCTGAGGAATTTGACCGATTTTTTTTTTGCATGAACTCTAGCATTACCCCCCTTACTAAATAAATTTTAATTCTGCCACTACCTGTGAATATACTACCCAACAATATTTCCTGTTAAATGTGTGCGCGAAATTGTCGCGAGACTTAATTTTTCGAATTGAGAATATCGTCGTGTAGAAAAATGGTAAGATTTATGAAAAGTGAAATTGTATATTTTAACTTCTAGATATGCAGTCATGGTTACTTTTGCGTGTGTAATCTTTTATTAGTCACAAAATAGAGGGATTCGCTCAGTATTGCAAATTACAATTTCCACGTTCGCTGGTTAAGTCTTTCCACATTTTGTGGTAAGCTTTTAGTATAAAATGTAACTCCTCCGTTTCGCTCTATACCTGGCCGCCGTTATATTCTTACGTTTTTCTAATAAGTCGTCCAACAACTTAACGGAAATTATCGATTCGTCGAGAGAACTTTCAATTTACAAATGAAACTCAGAAGCTGTGATTACATAATGTTTTCAACACAAAACCTATTTTCATAAAAAAACTTGCATACGGTATTTTGTACACGATTACTTAAATGATTAGAAACAATTGGACGATCAATTGCCGAAATAAACTAAACACGTCACATAAGAAAATTAATGCATTCGAGTTGCTACCAAAGGTGATATTCACAAATGATTAATTATTAGCGATACCAAACAAAAAAAAAGTGATCTTCACATACCGTCATCGCGATCAGCACTCGGAGTTCGGCTCAATGCCCTGGTTTTTGCGAGACTCTGCACAAGTGAAGAGTCAACGCAATGTTCCGTATATTGACGTAGATCCGCGTGCCATACGTAGATAGTGACTCGCTTTGACGCTTCAGGAACAACCAATGACAGTGCACATTGCTGGGACGTCTCCTCATAGCGCTTTGAAGTAGGGCGCGGAACTGACGGATGTTCTGGAAGTACCCAGCCCTGATTTCTCTTTCCGTTTTCCTCGTAAACTAATCTAAAGGAGGTTTTTGTAGAATTTTATCCTTATATAAATGCCGAGTGTATTTTGCCGAAAAATCTAATAACTTGCTTTCGGTTTCAAGACGGTCATAATTTTAGAGAATTCAAAACTTCAAATTATTGACTTCTTTGATTGCATATGTGAGTAGCAAAGAATTTACTAGTGTCGCATTTTTTTTGTAGTTCCTTTTAGTCTCCTTTATCGGAGTTTTTTTGGTATCTCTAGAAACTAACGAATATTTACACTTATTTTGTAAAAGAGAAGTGGTTTCAAAATTAAGTTGTTTTCTAAACTTTTAGCTAAACAATTTGTACAAAGACAAGATTTTTCTCACGCAAAACGTTCAACCGAAGTGCGTGCTATGAACAGTGCACTACAAACGCAGCTTATGGGTAATGTTTTCGAATATCCATGTTATATATGCCGATAATATATTCCCAGAACATATCTTTGTTTCATTTTTTCACGAACACGAATTAATTTTTGGCAGTTATTTCGAAGTAACGTGCAGAAGTGATCAATTTAAAAATGTCTAAATTAAGAAGAAAATGTATTATACAGTTTTACTGATTATTTAGACATTCATAATAGATTTTACTCGGGAGCAAAGTTCGGACTTCGGAACCCGATATCACGCCGACTAGCAAGTTTCTCCGTTTCGCCGCCAGAGGGTGCAGCAAGTCGACGCCTGCGAACGCGAAAAGAACATCGGTCTTCGCGAGAAGTCCTCCGCCGATTCTTTTTGCGCACTTAGGAGATACTCCAGATTTATACGATCCTTCCCCTTAAAAAGTTGCGCGCGCCAGGGAACTTGCAATCTGCTTGCAAGGCGGGTCGGCCGCGGAGGAAGGATGGGGCAGATACGCGAAAGACATGGCGAAGGGGGTGGGGGGAGAGCAATACGTCGCGAGGACATTTACGGAGAAGTGAGCGGCTTGCCGTTCTCAGAACGTCGATATTATACGAGTACAGGAGGGATTTAGAATCTTTTTTTTATTCATCGACCCAATGCTCATAAATGTCTCAAAGATAACAATTTCCTGCATTAATATTTGGGTAAATGTCTAGATTTACAGTAACCGAAAACTCTTGTACTTCTAAGTAGCTGAAGTTCTAATCTTCGATGTTGTACAAATGATTAAAAAATGTTGAGCGCTTTTTTTCTATCCATAACGTTTATTTATTGTGTATCACAAGGATTATTATCTTCCGCGATAGAAAATTGTAGTAAATACGTAGTTTCTATCAAAACGTGGCGTTACCGACTCTGTAGCCTGTTTTAAAAATAAGTTTCACGTGTGGAAAATTTCTTTTATACTTCATTTCTTTTATGTCCCACTTTGTTTAAATATGTTCTTTCAGAATCTGGCTTTAGACTTATCAATGAATCATAATAGCTGATAAGGTTATGCTCCCGTTCAAATGATTACAAAAATGTTGTGCGTATGATTAAAATGTTGAGCGGTTTATTCCCATCCCAAACGTTTGTGGTAGCTACATCGTGACGAGGACGGGTAACGACGGGGTGACCCACCGTATTACATTTCAACTTTGCGAGAAAGTGGCTGGGCGTGTGTGGGACGGAAAGTGAGGCTGATTTGGTGACTGGGCTTGAACGCGACGGGACGAGGCGGTGACGAAGCAGATGGCAGGTGCAGGTGAATGCAATAATGCGGCCATGAGGAGTCGTCACTGAAAGGGGCGGAGAATGGAGGTTAGTCGGAAGCTGCGCAGCTGGAACAAAACAACGGAAGGCGACGGGACGGGGCGGGACGGGGTTGAACGAGATAGGCGGCGAAAAATGCCCGAGGCCGCCCGTGTCAGCTGATCTCGCAGGCGCCGCCAGCTGCCTGCACGCTACGGGTAGAGGTTGGCGAGTTGCGAAATGGTGAGAGGTGTTGAGTTGGAAGGGGGGAGGGAAGGGGAAGGGAGAAGGAAACTGTGGAAGTTTTGCATGGCCAGTTCTGAACTTCTCTTTCGGTCGGGTGCTCGTAACTGGAGAAGTGCGTCAAGCAGGGCGACCAGCGACGAAAAGTACTCCTGGTGCTCACCTTCAGGGCAAGTCTGTTTTATTATGAATTTTTATTAAGTTGCGAGAGGTAAAGGAAAAGACATGGAGAGTTAAGGTCTTGTTGTCCACAAAACAAATTACCGATTCAAATTGTTTATTGATATTAAATAGTTTACTTGATATTTGTAGTGATAAATATTTGATGTAGTTTTATTTCATGGACATATACATTGACTGTCGTACGTAAATAAATATCGTTAGAAACAATTAAGTTTTTTAACAATCGCGCAACGAACAATTAATATTTATGCATTACACATCCTCCCTTTAATTGGAAAACGTTCCAAAATTAAAAAAAAAAAAAACACAAAATGTACTAGTTTTGCAGCCAATATGTTGGGAAAGAGAACGTAATTTAACCGAAAAAATAGGTGGTTGACAAAATTCGGCAAAGCACTGCTGCACGTTTCGACTGAATAACTGGTCGATAGGCATTTAACGTACTGTTTTTTAATTTTATATTTTAAAACAAGAGAAACATTGACACGAACACAGCGTTACATCAACTGACGCCAGCATCATCACGATTTTGTTTCACAAATTGACCCAAGGCTTCGGGAAAATGGCATTCTGTCACTTCGCCTTGGAACAGGAGGGCAAAGGGCATAATGCACAATCTATTTGGGAGAGTGATACTTGTAGCCTTTTCTCAGAACTTCCATATAATACGAGTACAGGAGGGATTTAGAATATTTTGTATTCATCGACCCAATGCCCATAAATGTCTTAAAGATAACAATTTCATGCATTAATATTTTGGTAAATGTCTAGATTTACAGTAATCGAAGACTCTTCTGCTTCTAAATAGCCGAGGTTTTAATCTTCGTTGTGCAAATCATTACAAAATATTGGGCGCTTTTCTATCCATAACGTTTTTCTAGTGCGTATGTATTACAAGGAGTATTATCTTACGCGATAGAAAAATCTTTTTTAATCTGTAGTTACTAGCAAAACGTGGCGTCTCCCACGCTGTAAACCGTTTTCAAAATAAGTTTCAAGAGTTCAAAAGTTATTTCATACTTAATTTCATTCATGCTCAGCTTTGTTTAAATACGTTCTTTGTGTATCTGGCATTGGAACTTACCAATGATTCGCAGTAGCTGATAATGTTATACTTGTCGTTGAGAAGTTTCCAACAGCCAAGGGCCTTGTGTATATGTGGGGCCTTGTGACCTCCATACGAGATATGAATTGGTTTTATTGCAATTTCAAAATTATAGTTGCTGTAACAAATACTTGCAGGTTTTGATGCTAATAGTTTAATTTAAATGTGAAATTAAGAGTTTTCATTCTAATTAGTATATTAATATGGCTGGTGCTTTGGCAAAAACAAGCATGGAGAGCAATTGTTTTGTCTTTGCCGATGTGCGTACACGGGGTACTTATTGGGGCCCCTACCGGTGATTAGTGCCAGAGTTGCTCCACCCTAGCTACGTCCCTCATCTAAAGGATGAGTGACGAGAGACGGCCCTAAACAAGAGGGGTGGATTTTTTTAAAATATCATGTATTATTACTCTTTAGCAAAAGAGAATTAATTATCAAGTTCATTTTACATTATTTTCTAAACAATAGGATCTTAATTGTATCTATCAATATCCGATTTCTATTCGTCTATTGATTGACCCCTTTAAAAGTATTGACCTCCAATAAAGTTTCAATGACCCCAGTAGGACGATAAGGTACACCGTTGGAAACAGAGTATCGTGTAGCGCGTATTGCAAAACAGCCATTTCGGAATTCAATTCTTGATATGGAAGAAAGTTCATGTCATCTCCCGTGGATTAGCGCTAGCTAAAGTAATTTGCTGGTGGTTTTAAAGAAGATAATTGAAATTTCACTTTACTACTACAGTTTTATTCAGGAACAAGTCAATCATTATGAGGGACTAAACACTTTTATCTACAAATATCCACATCTAAATAGGAGAAAATAGATATTAATTTGTGGGAAATCATTTATTACGTTATTTAAATCTGGTTATCGTTACCGTGTTCAGAATGAATAACTGAAGCATCACTTTAAATGCGAGCCCAGACGTAATGAATAAATGACGTACTTTCATCATCAAAAGTTTTAGATACAAATTATTAAATTCGTATTATTAAATTAAAAATCTTGTAGACAGATTAATGTGACTCTCTAGCACTATGACACTAGTTTATATTGATTAAATAATAAACATAACGATTGGACGATTCAAAGGGTTTCGACAGTTACCTTATATATTTGATCGAGTGTACTGGATTCCATGTGAAGCGTCATACCACGGTTATCATCTTGGGAAAAAATACTCCTATTTCCATTTGTACATTTACAAGGATGAATTAATAGTACACTGTAAAGAACTCTAATGTGAAGACAGAGATGATTCACAGAGTCGACAGTTGCACTTTCATCACAAAAAATGACGGGTGCATCAATAGATGCTGTTGCATATGTATTCGTGCCTGTGTGGCGTGGCAGCTGGTTTGAATTGTCGTGATGGGAGATTTAAGCCCACTTTCCTCGAAGACAATTGTTTTTCGAAAACAATGGATCTACTCGTTTTCATAAAGTTTAACATAAAATATGGGGTATTTCTTGTATTGGGAGCTTCGGGACACGTGCACTTTTTACTCCACGTATTTTTCACTCGTACACGCTAGTACGTTTACAGCCATATATTCGTTCCCTCTTCATGTTCGTAGATACAGACAATGTTACGCATCAGAAAATTATTCAACAGACCAGAAAGCCTTTGTGACGCTATCTCTCTACGCCTTTGAGTAAGAATAGTGAGACAATATCCTTCCGCAAGAAAGAACTCAAAAGAGACTGAGACTTATGATGTTCACTTTACACTGGACGTTTCAAGAGAACTTAGGCAGAATGAGGACTTAGTACTTCAGAGGACTTCGTGAAGGAAAATCGTGTTCACGTATTTATAAAATTCCCAATCGTATGTAGTGGAGTTAGGATTCTCAAGCTTATGTTGACTTTTTATTGAAATGATTTTTATGACCATAATAAAACAGACTTACTCTTTTTATAACAATTTATTTCCCTCGGCATTGCGACCTAATTCAGGGTCTTCTCCAAAAAACTAGTGTTCAGGCTTGTTGACACCACAACATAAACAGTTAG